GTTACGAAAATAAAAAAAATTTAATGCAAATTGGAATCTCGTGAGATATAAAGCACACTCCATATTACTAATTAGTTTGAGATTTGAGAACTTAATTTTGTCATTGTGATTCGCTGATTTTTCTTAATTGTATATAGAAATCTCTGTGTGTTTTCTTAAGTCAACGTGTTTATTTTAAGCATTTGATGTTAGAGGGAACAAGGAATTAATCATAGATCAAGATCTACATTTCCTCACTTTGTTAAATTTATATCTCCCAAAGTCAATTCTCAAAACACATATCAATTACATACAGTTTTATGTTTTTTTTTTTTGTCTTTTCTTAAAGCCGAAGAATCTGTGTACATTTGACACTGTGAATCCCTACCGGACATGGGTTCGAAGTAGCAAATCAACTTTGTAGTTTTGAGTTCATGATCACTACATAGTTTAATAAAAATTTCAAACTTGTCTAATACAAGCTTTGTCTAATACAACATCAACTACTGGAACAATGGCATGTTTCAATCATTTCTACAGCTCATTTTAGTTTATATATTGCTGAATAAATGTTGTTACTAACAAAATATTGTGTTGCAATTGTTTTTCTCGTTCTTTTGACTGAACGTTTCGTTATAATTGTGACCGACACTAATTATGTAGAAAACTTTGGTAATATGAGTAATTCTAGTACGCATTCCTATTATAATTACAAATCTCAATATGTATGGCGTAAAATTTAATTTTAAAAGTTTTCAAGGCATTTGCATAAAGTACGCCGCAAAAGAGCTATGGAAGAGGCTTCCGTGTGAATTGTGATGCATGGGGATTCACACCGTACACGCTGACAAAACTTAATAAAATACTCACACTTAATTATTCTCTCTAACTTCGTACATCTATTTAAGATGTCCATTGGTGAAACCTCAAACATCGACTCGCAAACAAACAAAGATCTAAATCTTGATCTTGATTCGTGAGGGAGATCAGGATATTAGAGTCTATTCGTCTTACAAAAAAATGAAACAGACCAATCTCTTACTATGTAAATTATTCATAGGAACCTTGTTATTTTGGTTGGGCTCTGTTTTGGTTAATGCAGAAGACCCATATTTGTTCTACACTTGGACTGTCACTTATGGAACAAGATCTCCTTTGGGTGTTCCTCAACAGGTATTAATATGTACTCTTTAACCTTCTTAATTGGATTTAATGTTGTTATGATAAATTAACATTAATTGATGTATTTTCTATTATTTTGCCGATGTACGTAGGTTATTCTTATCAATGGACAGTTCCCTGGTCCAGCGATTGAAGCTGTTACAAACAACAACATTGTTGTTAATCTCATTAACAAACTCGACGAACCTTTCCTCATCACCTGGTAAATACCATATATCCGATTGAGCTATAACTACACTTGGATAAAACTCATTTTGCGGATTTATATTGTATAACTAAAGATACGTTATACAAAATGTGCAGGAATGGAGTGAAACAGAGGAGGACATCGTGGCAAGACGGTGTATTGGGAACAAATTGTCCGATTCAACCAAACTCGAACTGGACATACCAGTTTCAACTTAAAGACCAAATCGGCACTTACACTTACTTCGCTTCCACGTCAATGCACCGAGCCAGTGGTGCTTTTGGTGCTCTCAACATTAACCAGAGACCCGTTATTACCACTCCTTATCCTACACCCGATGGCGATTTCACCCTCCTCGTCAGTGACTGGTTCAAATTGAGCCACAAGGTATGTACCAACACACAATACATCCAACCAAGATCTTACCAACACAAGATATAATACATCCTAATTAATGCTAATTTGTGATTACCTTAGGATTTGCGAAAGCGGCTTAACGCAGGCTATGCTCTACCTCTTCCTAATGCTCTTCTCATCAACGGTGTTGCTAAAGGTTTAATCTTTACCGGTGAAAAAGGTAACATTTTCACATTAACCCGTCAAGATCCTTTTTTGTTTCTTAACATCTCATTGTCTTGTTACGTAGTAGTTTTTGATGGAAATTTCACTATACCTATCTTTAGGCAAAACATACAAGTTTCGGGTATCGAATGTTGGAATAGCAACATCGATAAACTTTAGAATACAAAATCACACAATGAGCCTCATTGAAGTAGAAGGCGCTCACACTCTTCAGGAGAGCTATGAGTCGCTTGACGTCCACGTTGGTCAGTCCGTGACCGTGCTGGTCACTTTAAAAGCTTCCGTTAGAGATTACTACATCGTGGCCTCGACCCGGTTTACCAAACCGATACTTAACACAACCGCGAGTCTCCGTTACTTTGGCTCCAAAAACGCTGTATCTGGCCCGCTTCCCATTGGCCCTACTTACCATATCCATTGGTCCATGAAACAAGCAAGAACCATCAGGTATTACAAATTCTAAAATTTAACCAAACCGAACCGTACAGTTTTGATGGGATTTGGTTTAATTTCATTAATCTTAACCATCTAGGATGAATTTGACGGCAAATGCTGCAAGGCCAAACCCACAAGGATCATTTCACTACGGTACCATACCGATAAACCGAACTATAGTCCTCGCCAATGCGGCTACGATGATCTACAAGAAGCTTCGGTACACTGTAAACCGAATATCGTACATTAACCCACCAACGCCGTTGAAACTCGCTGACTGGTATAACATTTCGGGCGTGTTCAATTTCAAGACAATCAAAGGTATTCCTACAGTCGGACCAGCTCGGTTTGGTACATCGGTTATCGACGTTGAGCTTCATGAGTTCGTCGAAATCGTTTTCCAAAACGACGAGAGATCAATTCAATCTTGGCACATGGATGGTACTAGCGCCTATCCGGTCGCGTAAGCATTTTGCCCTCTGTTAAACCAAACCGGGTCCGGTTATTCATCATTAATTTAACCCGAATCGATTATTTTTCCAGATACGGGTCAGGGACATGGAATGTGACCATGAGGAGACGTTACAACTTGGTTGATGCTGTTCCGAGACACACTTTTCAGGTAATAAATAAATAAATATATTTTTATCTGAAACAAAACAATATACTGTTTGTATCTAATCAGTGACAATCGTGTGTGTGTAGGTATATCCGTTATCGTGGACAACCATATTGGTGTCGTTGGATAACAAAGGGATGTGGAATCTAAGGTCACAGATATGGTCGAGGAGATATTTAGGACAAGAGCTCTATGTTCGTGTTTGGAACGATGAGAAGTCTCTCTACACTGAAGCTGAACCGCCTCTTAACGCTCTTTATTGCGGCCTAGCCAAACGCCCCCGTTAGATGTTTCTTTTTCACATATATTATTATTGTTATTTTTTTTTTATTATTGTAATAGGTCACAATTAAGAGTGTGATTTTTTTCTTTTAAAAGGGGAGTTGGGAAAAATAGTACAAACGTAGTCAAAACGTAAACGTCATTTGAAATTTTTAATAAACAGACAAAAAAGAGCAAAGGAATACCTTCTTTGTCTTATGATTTGTTTCTTTTTGCTCCCTTAAAATTCGGATTGTGTTCATGCATCTAAACCACAATTGATACTAGCTAGAACTTTCTGATCAATCAAATACCAAACTATTTATGCTGTTTGTAATTTTGTATATATGCTTGTTTTAATTTAGACTACAGAATTCAAACCTAAGATTAATCATTTGTTACAAATATTATGTATTTCAAAGTAGTTTTTTTTGTTCAAGTCCATATGGCTTTTTCTGACTACGAAAGTACGAAATATGTCAGAAATAGATATATGGATTTCCTCATAACTAGAAAAGGCTCCAAACTTTACGCATTGTTTGGATCTGGGAGGTCACTGGATTTAAGATCTCACAATCTTTGAAGTCTTATTGTAGATGTTTTCCACTTTGGACAAAAAAAAATTTTCTATTAAAAGATGTTTCGTTAACGGACAAATATTTTTATTTTTATTGAGAATAAAATATATATTATAATTTTCCTTCCTGTGGCCAGAGAGAATTCCACGAATTACAAGTCACTCAAAGTCTAAGACAATGAATCCAAATCCAAAAAAAAGTATAAGACAAAGACAGAGGTTTTATAAATCATCATCACATCATCACCACACACCAAACAACAAAAAAAAATTTAAGAAAAAAAGAAAACACTAACGGAAAAAAAGAAGAAAAACGCAAATAAACACTAGAAGTCTCACGGAAGTTACAAAAAAAAAAAGCTATATTTTCGTGCTATGAGATTGTCTTTATTATGAGAGCATTTACTGACCAATTGAATTACGCATCCAAGTGAAAGAGCTTTGGATCAGAAACAACAAGTTGAAGGCATCGATGGAACTTGAAAAAAAAAGAATACCAAACCGATGATCGGTTTACTCAAATCAATCCAACACGTAACTGAAGAAGAATCTCACCTTTTTGGTTTGAATCTCAAAGACTTGTCATTAATTACATTTAGACTTGTATATTATTATTACATACAGACGTGTTTCAAATTCCAAGGTTTGTTTTGGTTATGAAGAGTTTCTTGACACAACCGCACAAGAAACATGCATCAACCAAAGTTTTCCACAAAACAGGTTATATGTTTATTGCTTTTTTTCCGTAATAAAATCATCCAAAAATGTAAACGTAACCTAGTCAGAATTGAAAAAAAAAAGTTCCCACCGACAACTTTCTAAAGGATGTCTGATAAAAATATATAGTTGGGATACTTTTACCCTATTTTGTAAATCTAAACCTTTTAAATATCAAAGCCTATCTTAATGAATATATGTTCCATTACGATACTATCATAATGGAAAATAATGCAAAACCTACTTTTTCAAAGAAAATGTGGGTTCCACTATGTTAATTTTTGTGACTAACATAATTTTGAACTTGGATTTGTGAATATTATTTAACAAAATTCGTCAAAAACAGACAAAACAAGTTGTGTTTTCCTTGATGGAAAACCAAAGAATTTAGACACGAGGTGTAAAGTGTAATGTATCCAAGATATCATTAGACATTTGAAAGTGACAATTCAATGAGACACTGTCTCCAACCATAAATGAAGAACCACACAACACAACCACAACAAAAGAAGGAAGAAAAAAATATCACAATTTAGGGAGAGAATATGAAGCAATATGTGCTTGTTCACGGAGGTTGCCACGGCGCGTGGTGCTGGTACAAGGTCAAACCGGTGCTGGAAGCTTCAGGGTACCGTGTGACAGTTGTTGATCTCACGGCTTGTGGTGTGAACATGAGCAGAGTGGAAGAGATTCAGTCGCTTGAGGATTACACCAAACCGTTGCTCGAGGTTCTTGAGTCGTTTGGCTCAGAGAGCAAGGCAATCCTCGTTGCGCATAGCCTAGGAGGGCCATCGGTTGCTCTTACAGCTGACATGTTTCCTAGTAAGATCTCAGTTGCTGTCTTCGTAACGTCTTTCATGCCCGACACAACCAATCCACCTTCTTACGCTTTCGAAAAGGTAAATCTATTTCTATTGGTAACATTGCGGAATCTAGATAAAATGAGGAAAAAAATTGTCAGAATAATAAAGCGATAAACAAAATAACTAAAATATTGGGAATTGTAGGGTTTTTCTTTTATTTGTCAAAATCAAATTATATGATTGGTAATTATCCGGTATCAACAAAAAACAAGGACACTTTCTAGTAAAAGTCATATTCAGTTTCTCGGGAGTGTTACGGAAGAAGATCTGTCGAATATGGAATTTGGGACATACGGAACACATGATCGTCCTCTAACAACTATTCTTCTTGGAACCAAGTACTTAGCCAAGTACATGTACCAACTTTCTCCAGTCGAAGTAAGACTAACCAAAACATGCTCTCTCTCTTTTTTTTTGTTTCAATACCCAAATTGGAAATTTTCTTTGTCCTTTTTCTTATGAATCTTTTTGTTGATTGTCAGGATTTTGAACTGGCCAAAATGTTAGTGAGAGTTGGACCGGCAGTTACTAGTAATCTGACGGGGACAAAAAGCTTAACCAAGGAAGGGTATGGATCAGTTACTCGTGTGTATATTATATGCGGGGAAGATAAGGGTTTAACCAAAGATTTCCAGCGATGGATTATCGAGAATTTTTCGGTTAAAGAAGTGATGGAGATCAAAGATGCAGATCATATGCCAATGTTTTCCAAGCCACTTGAACTCTGTGATCGTCTTCTAAAGATTGCTGATAAATATGCATAAACAAACCTGAGAATGAGAGATCATTATTGTCATATATCTATGTAGAAAAACTTCAACTTACACCACCATGATATATGTTTCATGGGATGGATGATTATACAAATAAGATTCCTGAGATGAAAAGGCAAAAAAAAAATCTCATTTCTACAACAATAACATTTTTCAAATGAGCTGAGTAATAAGATACACTTTTGTGTCTTGTGGCTGTGCTTTTATGAACATTCAATCATCAAGTGAAAACTATGATTTCAAGGCATGTATGACATGTGGTCAGACTGAGAGATGGAACTTAAGACAGCGCCATTTCAAACAAATTTGAGGCCATGTGCTGATAATAAACTAAATAGGCCCTAATAATATACAGTTTTGGAGTGCAAAATAAGACTAGTAAAAGAAAAAATATTTGTATATTTTATAAAGAATTCTGGTTAATAAAACTGAAATATAAAAAATGTAAACTACAATATCTAAAAATATAATTTTCTTGATTCTACTCAAATTTTTTTTTAAAAATTCTGAAATATTTGTTTCCTGCAATTTGAGCCTCTTGCATAAATATTTCTTTTTCAATATTATTCAAAGCAAACAAACAAAAAATGTTTTACAAACTACAATGGGCCCTTGATAATTCTGGGCCCTGTGTCATATCCCATGTGACACTTGTGAAGTGCCGGCCCAGTTGAGCCAGTGGCTAACGTCGTGTAGTTCGAGATTTTGGCCTTGAAGATTTCTGCAATGAAAGAGAAAAGGAAGTTCAGTTTCAAACAATATTCCAGGGTGGTTCAGGGGATTGAATGCAGTCGTTAACCTGAGCTATTGAAACGTAATGATACAACAAAACATATCTGATGGAAACGAGAGTTTGAAACCGGAAAGATGTACTTACTGTCATTGAACCGAAGCTGGCTCCCGAACCCGGCGTAACACCTAAGGGGAAACAGATGACAGAGATTGAGATGACGACAAGAACAAATCTTGATACCAACTCTGAGTATATCGCATGAGAATTTGAGTAACAGATAATGAGTTTGTACCTGGAAACTGTGAAGGCGTGGCACTAATTGATGTAGTTTGCTGGCCAAACAAAGATGGAGCTGGTGAAGAAGCAAAAATTGAGGGAGTGGAGGATGGTCCAAACAAAGAAGAGGCAGGAGCAGCAGAAGGTGGTGTAGCAAAGAGAGAAGACGATGGTGCAGGTGTGTTAGGAAACGAAAAAGCAGCTCCTGAAGAAGGGTTTGGTGTTGAAACCGCTGCAGATGTTTGTGGAGCATTTGAAGCCACCGGAGCAGCTGAGCTAGCAATCAACCCAGCAACTTGGGTAGAGGTTTGTGTACTCGCACTAGTCGCAGGTAGATGCAGAGTTGGATGGACCCTTTTCGCAGCAGCTTCCTGTTTTGCTGTTTCCCTTCGATCAGCCTCAAGAAAGGGATCATTGCATTCTCCTCTCCGGCGCTGGTCAGCAAGATACGCTGTTCTCATCGATTCAATGTATTGGTGAATATTCTCTACCTGAACAAAAACAAAGTCTAACCGATTACAAAAACTTCAAAAGCGTTTCTACAATGGAGGTTCATCATTAGAAGTTACCTTAGCAGCCACATGAACAAAGAAGTCATGCACATTAGACATGACTTTTGGAAGAGATTCTAAAAGGGAAGCGTGTCGATTATACTTGTCAGAATCCAAGGCAAGCAATTGCTCCAGCTCCTCAACCCATTGGCGGCATTCGCCTAGATACTTCTCAAACCTTGCAACAGTTTGCTGTAGAAAAGCTGTGGGTTTCTTTGGAATCCCACGGTAAAAATCAGAAACTTGAACAATAGAAGTAATTGTTTGTTGTTGTTGACCAGAGGAAGCTGGAGCTGGATTAGCTCCCTGCGTCTGAGATGGTTGAGAACCACCATTTACAGATCCTACTGGTTTTGAATGAGGGAATCTCGGCTGTAGCATCATGAAAGAACGAACCGCAATCTCTGCATTACGCAGCATATCTTTAGCAACCACCATTAGCTCATGCAGAACAGCTTTCTGTCTGTCCATGGTAGTGTTAATCCCACCAAGCTCCTACAAATGTTAAATGAAGACACTTTTACACAAGCCTGAGATATAACCCATAAGATCAATTCCTATATGAAACAAACAATAGAAGGGAATCATCCACAGACCTGAACAATGCGGCTTGCATCAAACTCAAATCCTTCACTGGACACAGAAGAATCATAAAGTCGACTGCATTGATCTAATCTCTGACTTTCACTTCTGTACTCCAAAATCTTCTCTCTAAGGATAACGCAAACAAGAAGATCAATTTACCAACGGAACTGAATCTAGAGAAGGGTGCCAAACATATACATCGATAACCAGCATCAAAGGATTCTTGATTCATCGAATGTAAGGGAGAAAAAGGAAAGGAATTGAAGAGCATACTCAATCTGGAGGAGGAGTTTCTGGGAATCTGGATGAAGATCGGCCCATTTGGTACTGTAATTCGCCGGCGCTTTATCGTTCGTGAACAAAAACAGCTGCTGCACTTGCTGCTGCTGCTGCTGATTTTGCTGTTGTTGTTGTTGCAAGAACTGTTGCGGCTGAAACGACGGCGTTTGCTGCGGCGAGAAGAAGGAACTGCTCTGCGGCGGCTGAAACGACGGCGTTTGCTGAGTCTGAAACGGCGACTGAGGCGTCTGCTGCTGCTGTTGCTGTGGCTGTGGGGTAGAGAATAGACTGAACGACATGGCGGGATAAACCGACGGTGAATCGAAATCTAGGGTTTCTAATCGCCGGCGAGGATTTTGAGTCGAGAAAAAGATTCATAAGCCCCCTCGTTAAAACTTGTAAAGAGGAAAAAAAAATTAAAAAAAACTCGAATAAGTGGAGAGAAAAAGATAGAAATTAGTATTTAATACCTATATTTCACTTTCTTAATAAACTGGAGGGCTCCATTGCAAATATTCACTATCAGTTGTTCTTGTTAAATATTTTGCCGCAAACTGTAAGCAAGAGCCGTTATTTCGTCGAATTGTTTTGTTCTGTTTCTTTAAGGAGCTCATGTGTTTCTCTCCCTTAAATCTAATTATAAAGTGTATATTATGTTGATCATCATGGATCATGTAGTTGTATCTTATATACAGTGTATTTTGATAATATTAAGGGCCCTAATAGTAAACATCAACCTATGATAAGTTTGCTTTTTTAGTTTATATCTGTTTCATTCTTAATGCGTGTGTGTTGACTGATGTGTACACATGAGGACCCCATTGATTGCTATGAAAAAATGTTAATACTAAATTAGCTCTAATTTACAGCTATTAGAAAAATGGCTTTCCATCTCCCATCCAATCAAACAGCTATAGCAAATAGCAATTAAAAGAGTACATTTACTTAAAAAACGTTTTGAAATTTAAAAGAGTAAAAAAAAAAATCCCAAACGTTGCTCTGTTCATCTTCACTTCAGTCACTAAAATAAAACCCTCACCTTGGAGAAAAACATATCTTCTTCTTCTTCTTCTTCTTCTTCTTCTTCTTATTCCAGAACAAAAAAAGAGAAAACAAGAGAGGGAGGGAAAGGAGAGAAGTTCGAAAACCAGAATCAGTGAGTGTCACTCACACAAGTCTACAATGCCTGTGTTGAGAACGAGGACGAAATCTTCAGTACCCGACATAAACCCTAATCCAACAATCGGAGGAACCTCAAACGTCTCCATCTACGAGAAATGCAGACAAGACAGGATCAACGAGAATCTCCAGAGAATGAAGAAACTCGGGATCTTGGATCTCTCACTCAACCTCAAGTCTCAGACCCGACCCGTCAAAAGGCATTACGCTAAATCTACGACCCGAGATCATTCGCCTCCTCTTCAGCTTTCCGTCTCCACCAGACGATCCTCAAGGTAACCTCCACTCTTTAGGATCTTTGTTCAATTTGGCTTCCAAAATTAGGGATTGTACAGAAATGTAGGCTCTTTAAGTAGAAATCAGGGTTTATCAATTTTGTTCTTTTGTATAATTCGTCAGATTGAACAAGGAAACGCCAGGTACTCGGCGATCCTCAAGGTAATCATCGTTTTCCATCTCTGGGTTCTCTTTTCGTTGAATGGGTTTTGTTCAGAAACCAACAGGAATAAGCTAGGATTTTTAGTAGAATATCAAAGTTTACTACTTTACTTTTGCTATCGTCTTCAGATTGAAGAACGTAACGCCAGTTACCTACTTCGAGGAAGCAGAAGGAAAGAAGGGCAAAGCACCTAAAGAAGAGACTTTGTGGCTTGGAGTAGGTGAAAGGCCAGAGATTTACACTGAGGAGCATGAGAAACTGCTAGGTAACACAGAACGAAGCTGGGAGCTTTTTGTCGATGGTTATGCCAAAAATGGGAAACGGATTTATGATCCTGTTAACGGAAAGACTTGCCACCAGTGCAGGTTAGTGAACTTGCCTTATCTCAGAAAGTGCAAGCTTGAGTTGGTTTAGGTCTAACGACTGAGACAAGTTTACTTAATGGTTACAATATGGATTTTACAGGCAGAAAACGCTCGGTTATCGTACACAATGCAGCAAATGTCACCCATCGGTCACGGGTCAATTCTGCGGAGATTGTTTGTACATGAGGTACATTAGCTTTCTTATGAAACCCACCTTATCTGTTTCTGTGTGTTTGAGCATTGTTTTTATAAGAATCAATAAGCAAGTGATGATCTTATTTCCAAACGAGGATTGGTGTTGAATAGATAATGTTGTGGTCATTGAACAGATATGGAGAACATGTCCTTGAAACTCTGGAAAATCCGGACTGGATTTGTCCTGGCTGTCGCGGGATCTGCAACTGCAGTGTATGTCGTACACGCAAAGGGTGGATGCCAACCGGCTTAGCTTACAGGAAGGTAGCAGCAATCTTGATTATTATCCCTTTCTACAGATTCTCTCGCATTTGATTTCTCGGATAGTTCCAAAAGTTAGAGGCTTTTTCTTTTTCAGATATGTAAGCTCGGGTACAAGTCCGTTGCGCATTATCTGATTCAAACCAACAAGGAGTCAGGAACAAGTGAGGACACTGAAACTGATGATGCTCCATCCGAAGCTTCTGCGAAGAGATCGCTGTCTTCTAAAGAAGCAAAGGCATCTTCAGAAGAAGATGATCTCCTTCAGGACGAAGACATTGACGATAATCTTGATGATGAAGGCACAAACGAGAATCCGGATTCAGCGACAAAGTCAATGAGCTTCTTGTCTTCTGGGGAAAATCAAACTTCAGTGACTGATGTTCATGTTTCAGGTGATCTCAAGCCATCAAATGTGAAGGAGAAGGATCTGGATCCAGCAACTCCTGTGATCGTTGATGTTGAAGCTTATTCTGCAAACATAGAGAAGGGAGGAAAGAGAAAAATGTCTGTTGACCCAAATAGTATTGGTGCAAGACTGAGGCAGCGTCGTAAGAGTCAAGCATGAGTGAAATGGAAACTCTTTTAAAGTTCTCATCTGCTTTGGCTTCCTTTATTTTCAGCCAAATCTATGTAATCTCTTTATGTTTGAACTCTATGATCCTCTTTTTGTTTCTTGAATGATCCTCCTTAATATTTAAGTAATCCTAAATTGCAAACTAAATTTGTTTTTTTGACATCGATTATTTTGTTCCCTAAGCATTGATCCAATTCCAAATAAACCAGAATTTGAATTTGAATTTGTAGAAGCTACAACTTTACTATTAGTGCGGTACCAATGTCTCGCTCGCATTAAAAGAACTCGAGTCCTCAAATTAAATTAAAAGCTAAACCATTCGTTTGGACTTAGGGCATACCTTTTTAATACAGAGAATCATAACTCTATTTTATCATCAAATAAACACAAAAAGGAGAATGAAAGCATTATACGTGCTTTGTCTCATTGAAAAGGACATAATTTGAAACCAAGCATATAACTAAACTACAACATAAGAAAAGAGAAGAATTATTATTCGGTTTTAATTTCTAAAAGAAAAAGTAAAAGACAGAAGGCATTCTTATTTAATCAACAACACATTGTGTTCCATTCATTCATAATAAACAATACAAATAGTTTATATGTCCTTTCTTTTGGAAGTGAGAATTTATTATTTTGACTCTATCGATGAACCACACGACGTAAACATATCGTCTATTTTCGTGATAAACAAAATTAATAATGACTTTCTTAAAAAAAGAAACAAAATTAATTTTACAGTTCTATTTATTGAATAATCATTTCAATTTTTGCAAGGAAAAAGCAATAATCTATTCATTACATCAACTGTTCTTCAATGCAACTCAACTTTTCCACCACTGTTGTGGTTGATCATTGAGTGTAATGGTGTGTACCAACTACCAATCTGTTTTTAAACATTTCTCTTTTTGTGGTTAATTGTTAAAGTGGTCAATTTCTTCAATTTAAGTAGGTATATGGTTATATTTTGCAGCAGCATTTGACCATTGCCTATCTTAAGCCTTATATTTGGGATTTGACGTACCTTGATAGAATTAGTTAGCAAATGAAGGCAAATGTTACCAAATTAAATTATGTTATCGTTTTTTCTAAAGGATAGAGTCCAAAGTAAGCAAAAGCATCCCCACATCCCAACCTTACATTTATAATAAGCATATATATATATATATATTAGTCGTCTGTTTCAAGTTTCAACCAACACATCTGATATTAGTAGGGTATATGTACATTCATATAGTAATCATAAATAAAAGCTACGACTTATTATAAAAATATGTACCATTTTATATTAGTCAAAAGTTTTGAATTATCTTGCAAGCCGCAAGCAGGAGCACCTAACAAGGATAGTTCTTGCTATCGAAAATCTGCACATGCATTTTTGTTGTTGTTGTTTCTCATCATTTATTCGAGAAGAGTTAGAAAATGGTGTATACATTTTCCTTACTAATTCCGCAATTGCAAGAGTTGACTAGTTACTGTGTTTCTTTCGGGGGACGATAAAGAAGACAACAATTGTGTTTTCCTGAGTCATTTTTTGTCTTGTTTTCAGATTAAAATAAGATGAAAAATTCGTGTAATACTAGCGTCAATAAAAATGTCAAATAGCATATGCTATACTAATATTCCCACTAAATAGTCCTTTCTCTGTTATTTGACTTCCTTCTAGGACTTTTTTGGTGTTATTTGACTTGAAACCTTAGCCTTGTCATTTATAAGAAAATGATTAGAGTAATTGGGTAATTAATTCCACCATACATTATTGTTTTTTTTAAGCTCCATGAACCACCACTTTGCTTCTGGGTATTGTGAAAGTCAATGCCTTTTCTTTAACAGTGTGTAAAGGAGAGAGAGAGAGTGTGTGTGGTAAATGAAATGAGAGATTGGTGGTGAAAGGGGTCACCTTTGCTTTTATATTCAAAGAGAGCTCCTTTGGTCATTGTTGAAGGTTTTCTCCCACAAATTTTTCTTCCTTTCTCTTGTTTTGATTGCTCATAATATAGGGTTCTGTTTTTCTATGCAAAATTTTGGGATCTGTTTTTTTTTTTTTTTCTTTCTGCTTTTTTTTTTTATTTATTTTCCCTCCTTCTCTCCTGAGAAAGACAGGTCTGGTCCTAGGGTTTGAGCCTTTTGACTCTTCCCTTCTCTTTCTTCTTGGATTCCTTCTTCCTTGTGGTTTTCTTTCTCGTACTTTTGTTCGTTGAAATTGTGCTCTTTTACTTTCTCCTTCTTCTCCCGTCAATTTCGTTTTCCTCACTCCTTTTGTTTAAGCGCTAATTTTATTTTTAATTTCTGGGTTCCCTAAAAGTTTCCGTTTTTGGATTCTCGCTTGATCTTCTTCTTCAAGATCTTCTTCTAATTCGTCACTTCTAGGGTTTGGTTTATAATGGGCTAGAAACAAAACCCTTTTTCTTGTTTCTTTTGCCGAACCTCCAAGCGAAAACTGCCTCTGGTTTTTTGAAAAATTTATTATCTAATGCATTTCTCTCTCTGGAAGCAAATTCACCACTGTGCTACTCTGATCTTAGACAAGAGTAAGAGCAGGAGAAGAAGAGATGAGTCCGATTCGTCTGTCAATGTCAGGAAAAAAGCTGCAATGCTTCGGAAATTGTACGAAGATAAGCTAAGGGAAGCTCTAGAAGAAGCCTCCGAGAATGGGTCACTCTTCAAATCCCAAGACATGGACCAAGAGAATCAAGACGGAACCTTGGGCCGCTCCAGATCCTTAGCTAGACTCCACGCGCAGCGTGAGTTCCTACGCTCCACCGCTTTAGCAGCCGAACGCATAATCGAATCAGAAGACACCATTCCTGAGCTCCGTGAAGCTCTCAGCAAGTTCCTTAGCATGTACCCAAAGTACCAAGCTTCTGAGAAAATCGATCAGCTAAGATCCGATGAGTATAGCCATCTATCAGGTTCCAAGGTATGCCTTGATTACTGTGGATTTGGTCTCTTCTCTTATGTTCAAACTCTGCACTATTGGGATTCTTGCACGTTTAGTCTCTCCGAGATCACTGCGAATTTGAGTAACCACGCGCTTTACGGTGGAGCAGAGAGTGGAACCGTGGAACATGATATCAAAACTAGGATCATGGACTATTTGAACATCCCTGAGAATGAGTATGGTCTTGTTTTCACAGTAAGCAGAGGCTCAGCTTTCAGGTTGCTAGCGGAATCTTATCCTTTCCATTCGAACAAGCGGCTTTTGACCATGTTTGACCACGAGAGCCAGTCAGTGAATTGGATGGCGCAGACCGCTAGGGAGAAAGGCGCAAAGGCTTACAACGCTTGGTTCAAGTGGCCTACTCTGAAGCTTTGTTCGACTGATTTGAAGAAACGGTTGTCTTACAAGAAGAGGAAGAAGAAAGATTCTGCGGTCGGGTTGTTTGTGTTTCCTGCGCAATCTCGAGTTACAGGTACCAAGTATTCTTACCAGTGGATGGCTTTAGCTCAGCAGAACCATTGGCATGTGTTGCTTGATGCTGGTTCTTTAGGTCCTAAAGATATGGATTCGCTCGGCTTGTCATTGTTCCGGCCTGAGTTCATCATCACTTCGTTCTACAGGGTGTTTGGACATGACCCGACAGGATTTGGTTGCCTGTTGATTAAGAAATCAGTCATGGGGAGTCTTCAGAGTCAGTCCGGGAAAACTGGATCAGGAATAGTAAAGATCACGCCTCAGTATCCTTTATATCTCAGCGATTCAGTTGATGGTCTTGACGGATTGGTTGGTTTTGAAGATGAGGATGAGGAGAAAAGCAAAGAAGCTCATCGTCCTGCAACTCAGATGCCGGCTTTCTCTGGGGCATACACTTCAGCACAAGTGAGGGATGTGTTTGAAACAGACCTCTTAGAAGATAACATTTCTTCTGATAGAGATGGGACTACGAGCACCACGATTTTTGAAGAGACCGAAAGTGTTTCGGTTGGAGAATTGATGAAAAGCCCTGTTTTTAGTGAAGATGAGTCATCTGACAATTCGTTTTGGATTGATTTGGGTCAAAGTCCTCTTGGATCTGATCAGCATAACAAGATTGCGTCTCCTTTGCCACCGGTTTGGTTTACCAACAAGAGAAACCAGAAACAACGACACTCGCCTAAACCAATACCGAACAGTTACAGCAGCCCCATGTATGATGGTAAAGATGTCCTCTCGTTTGATGCTGCTGTTATGTCAGTTACAGAGCACGGGTCAAACACGACTCCGTCGAGGAATAGGAGGAGTTCTAGTAACAATCTCCATGTTCAAGAGATACAGGAAGAAAACTTTGGTCGTAGCTTGGCAAATGGCTCAACAATTTCATCAGAAATCAAAGAGAGCGCCATTAGACGAGAGACAGAAAGAGAGTTCCGGTTATTGGGAGGGAGAGATGGTGGTAGAAGCAGGGTACTGGATGTGGAGGATGAGCATCCGAGTAAAGGACGACGGGTTTCGTTTAACACGGAGCGTGTTAGTCATAGCATAGTGGAGCCTGGTGAAGCTTCCCTAGCTAGCGTTTATGATGAAGAGTATAATAACACGAGCGATGTTGAAAATGGAGATGATGAAGGTGCAGATGATGAATGGGATAGGAGAGAAAGCGAAACAGAGATTGTATGCAGACATATCGATCATGTGAATATGTTAGGTCTTAACAGAACCACGACAAGACTCAGGTTTCTGATTAACTGGCTTGTGATCTCGTTACTGCAACTACAAGTGCCTGAATCAGGAGGCAGACACATGAATCTTGTGCAGATTTATGGACCAAAGATCAAATACGAAAGAGGAGCAGCGGTTGCATTCAATGTTAGAGATAAAAGCAAAGGTTTCGTTAGTCCGGAAATTGTTCAGAGACTCGGTGAAAGAGAAGGTATATCTCTCGGCATTGGTATATTGAGTCACATACGCATAGTGGATGATAAACCGAGAAACCATAGAGCCCGGACTAAAGAAGACAGTGCGTTACACTTGCAGAATGAAGTCGGGAAAAACGGGTTTATAAGATTTGAGGTTGTTACAGCTTCTCTTAGCTTCTTGACAAACTTTGAAGATGTTTACAAGCTTTGGGCTTTTGTTGCCAAGTTCCTAAACCCTGGTTTCAGCAGAGAAGGCTCGCTTCCTACTGTAGAAGAAGAAGAAGCAGAGGACTTAGAGACGTGAGAGTTCATAGTAGAAAAGCACAAAGCCATAACTTTTGCTTGTTTTTTTTTTTTTTTTTTGGGGTGAGAAAGTTTCTAAAATATAGCATTTGTTTTAAGTTCCTACAAAACTGGTTCAGATCAATATATACATTTAGATTCAGCATTTCTTTATGAAAAGATCGCTTGCTCGAACAGTTAGATTCTATAGTTGATAGCATTAGTATATATGAACTTGATACTGTCGCCATTTTGGTATTTTACTATCATACTGTATTTACTATTTAGAAAATTGAAAAGACTATATTTTCGAAAATCTAAAACTCTCTTATATTACTTCTAAAAAGAATTCACCGTCTTCATCACATGGAAAATAGCGTCATAATTACCTTAATATAAAACAGAATATCGTATAGAGAGCGACTGAGCAATATGTAGTAAATATCTAATACATGAAGTCTTAGAAGTAGCAAATGAAGCTGATTTAATGCGAGTGAAACAAAAATGTAATGGCATTGAAGCCCCCAAGGATTTTGAATCTTTTACAGTTTCAATTTCTCTGTCGCTGCTTCTTGTTGGCTAAAGCAGCACCGGTGACAAGTCGCAGAGCTTGGCCGGAGTTCTTGAGTATTGAAGACGATCTAGGGACTTGCTCTTTCCGCTTCTTCAAGAAATCTAACCCGGTTTTTAAGCATTCTGGTGGTGGAATCTCCTTGTAAATAACCGTTTCGATCCTGCACATACACGAGACAGAGAGTTAATCAGATCAATTCAAAGAGTGAATTTTTATAGTCTTGAAGCCCAAAGAGATGATCATACCCTGAGCTCTTTTGCTTTTTCTTTCTAGGGATATCTTCTGTGGCATCCTCTACGTCAGAATCCGACTCGTTTTTCTGTCTGTGAATGAGAGAAATCTTAAGACATATTTTTTCCCCGAGTTAAAAAGCGATTATGCATAACGAAAAAAGGATATCAAGCTTAATACTTTTCCCGATCGGCAAGAAAGTCTATGATGTTTTTGGAAAGGAATCCCTTCTTCGCAAGAGACTCAGGGTCTTCCTCTGGCTCTTCTTCTTCTTCTATATCTTCAAATGTTTCAATCTTTCGTGATTGCCTTGGCGTTATTTTCTCTGCTAAAAGCCTGCGACTCTCTTTCTTTTCACGGGAAACTCTACAGAAGAGAAAGCAATATCATCATTAAGGGAATCCAAACATTTCTAACTTAGCCCTCTAAAGGAAGCTAAGAGATCACAAACTCCACAACCGAATCAAAGAACAGGACATAGTCGCACTAGATTTTTAAACAGATAAGGCTTTCTAGATCAAAGGGAAATGTTAAAGTGAAAGCATGATCGACAAAACTAATACTTTCAGATTGTCTAACGAAGGATATACACATGGCTAGCTAACCAACAACGCTTGCATACTTCTCCTAACATCAAACTCATCAGATATACAAAGAACAAACCATCAAGGAAGAATCGTTATCTTCCTCCATTAACTCCTAATTCACAAGCACTTATCTTTATTTCTTCGAATTTTTTTTCCAAATCTTCAAATACAGTCAAAGTGAATCCTTTATTATCTAAATCGTAAAAATAGAGAGCTAGAACGATGGAATGTGGTGAGAATACAAACCTAGCCTTATTGTCTCTCTGTATTTTCCTCAACGCTGCATCTTCCAGCTTCGCCTGAAACAAGGCAGAAACAAAACCCATCAAAAGCTAAGCAAGAGCAATTTGATTGACTCTCTCAGCTCATCCCAAATAAAACGGAAACTACCTGCTCCTGGGTGAATTCTTCAGGTGCATCGTCGGAATCGGAATTGTGGTCTTTGTTATTCGACATCGAAATCAGATTATCTTCTTCACCAGTCTATGGTTTTCTTCTCCGTCAGACGACGACACACTAGGGTTTAACGGCTCTGCAAATTCCCAAAACACCACAGACAATTTCGACTCAACTCGAGTTCCTCTCTTCTGAGTAGAGAGACAGATGTTTTATTTTTCGTCCTTTAAGATGGGTTTCTTGTGGGCTCTCGTTACGCCTTTTTTGTAAGCCCATTAACGCATGAAAACGGCTCGTTATATTTTTTGTTTTTTTATAATTTTAATAATACAATTTTTATATAGCATAAGCTGGAATAGCTCAGTTGGTTAGAGCGTGTGGCTGTTAACCACAAGGTCGGAGGTTCAACCCCTCCTTCTAGCGTATATTTACTTTTCATACGTAAACGGTAAACCTAATTGTTGATACATACCCATCGTTTACTTATTTTTGTATTTTTTTTTCTCTACAATTGTTGGATTATGTACTGGAATTTATTTGACTTTTGCATACGAGTACATTGCAAAAATCAACCACTACCAATCCTAATAATCGATCTAAAAATAAACAAACGCCAATCAAAACAGATTCAAAACGTCTACGTGACAGTAATACAAATTGTTTTGGGTCTTCTTAACTACTTTGTTTCTGTTACTACTCTATGTTTTGTTTTGGTTTAGTAATAATTTTCAGATGAAAAAAAAAAAGAAGAAGAAAGATTATATACTAAATCAAGCCGACCAAAACAAAATGGTATGAGACAAGAATGCCGACCAAAGCAAATTGGTAAGAGACATGAAAAAACAAATAAGACAAAAATTTACTCAAAGGAAATAAAAAAATGGTGTACATATATAGCATTACAGATAAAATCAATTGAATAAATTGCATCACTTTATGGTTTATAGTAAAGAACACAAACATATCCTATATACTCAGACAACCCAAAAAAACCATGCTCTACTTTACCCTCCCCAAATCTATACAATGTTTCACATTTTCTTTCATCACAAATCAAGAAACCTTTTTTTCATTGATGCAAAAGCAACCTGAAACTGAAGTCATATGGTACTACTTGAACCAACTCCATAAGTGATTCTTTGTTCTTTCTCTCCATGCACATACCCGCTTCTTCTCTCAGTTTATCAGGCAACTGAAGGCAAACCCAATCGAGCAACGATTCCAAATCCTTCGCAAAGTCCAGTAAATACCAATCTAGTACCTTTGGAAGCATTAATTTGTTCTTCTTTGAGATCCCAACAGATGCTTGAAGATAATCTCTCTTTGCAGCTTCTAGCTCTTCCTCTACATTAGCTGCTGTGTAAACCCTTACCTGAATAAAAGAAAAGTTTGATGCTTTACTTAGTTTTCAGTGTCTTTGATCGATGCTTCGTTTAATCCATTTTCATTGAAGCATAACTTACAGCGGGAGAGGACCAGCTTCCACAAGCGAGAGCGAAAGTGACCAATGGCTCTGACCATTCCAATCCAAATGTGCTATGAGCTCTCATCTCTTCATGTGTTGCAGTTTTGGGACAAGTCTTTTCCAAAAGAAGAAGCAGAAAGAAAAAAAAAGATAAAAGATTCAAACTTTGATTCAACAGTGTACAATTCAAAGAGAAGAAGTTAAGAGGAACCTACGAATTTCAAGTGGTATGGAAGTCTCAAGATGAAATGTTCGATTGTGATTGCGTTTAGCGAGTGTCCTCCTACAATTATTGTTGCCTGACACAACAAAGAGAAGATGAATATAATAAACACATTAAAGCGCATTGATGTCAAATTTTGGTTTGAATAAACACCTTCTGCATCAGGGCTACAACCATTTCAGGGGTCCCCGGGATTCCGTGCTCCAAGAATGCCTGTGAGGTTAAAATTGGAAACAAGACATCAGAAAAAAAAAAAACATTTTACAGACATGACATCTCTCTGTCTCTATCATACAAAGAAATCATAGAAGTCTCACATTCATTACGCAGGAATTATAAGTATTGATCCAGAATGCTAGCTTCTGCTGGTGACTAAGACCATCTAGATTTACAACGGAAAGCTTATTAAGCAGGAACCTGGAAATAGAAATCGTTGAACAAAACATGAGCTCATTAATATTTCAATTACTCAATAAAAGTTTCACATATTTTGTTTAGATGAGAAACTAACTTGAGACGATGGATCAGAAATGAAGCATTGATTTTTCTTCCAAGATCAATTGAAGATGCATCAACTGAGCAAAGATTCTTGTATGCACCAACTTCTCTTGTTCTCCATTCTGAACAGTTACTATATGGATCCAACACAATGTCCTTCGACGAACTAATCCTCAAGATAATACTCACTAGGCATTTCAGTAAATCCTCTGAAACTCTGTTTGCTGCATTTCCACTTTGCAGCGATTTGTCTTCCGAAGATGATCCCGAGACACTCTCTTGTGCTTTGTCCTGATCTGCTAATCTATCATCTAGCTGAACAACCGAAAAAAAGGAAAAGGAGAAAACTTTCAGAAAAGGAAAATTCACAGATTCATGCATTAGTGAAAGAGTAATTGTTTTTCATACCGGCAGTTTAATTGATTCTACGCATTTATCGGCTGCTGCCTCCGGTTTATTCAAAGGTTTCTTCTTCTTCACAGATGTCAAGAATCTGCCAAGCCTCTTCTCAGGTGATTCTTTATCCTTCTTGTCTTTTAAACCATTACTAGAGGTCTGATTCTCTTTCCCCCTCACATCCACTGGCTTAGCAACACTGCTCAGATTCGGTTTAGGCGAGGCTTGTTTGCCATTTACCAATCTCTGACCACTTCGATCATTAACTGTTTGATCAGAGGAGAATAGTTTCCTACTTGAGATGCTTCTGCTTAGACTAAGAGACTGTTGATGCTTTTTAGGGGGAGTGATCATAGAATTGAACTCGTGTTGCGACATGGATTTCGATCGCTGGTGTTTACTGCTTCTAACGGGAGAATTCTCTTTTAGACTGTTGTTATTAGGACTCTCCAGATTCTTCTTGGAAGATATGTAAACAGCTTCTTGGTATAAACCTTGTCTAAAACTTACAACTTGCTCTTCTAACCGAACCACTTCCTCTTCAAGAACAGCTACTTCAGCAAGAAGCTCCAATGTCTTGTCAAAATCCGAATAAGAAACGAAAATCAAACACAAAGAACAAGAAGTTTGATCATACTAAATTCGAAAAATTCAGCATTTCGGTCTTACATATCGAGGGAGGTAAGATGGAAGACGAGGTAAAGCTCCTAAAGGTCTAGTGAAAGCTCTCTCCAATGCTCTATGCACATTCTCCTCCTGTCTCAGCTTCCTCTTTAGCTTATCAACCTAATCAAAACAACATTTTTTAGACTCAATTCATCATTAAATCATCAAATCATTAATCTAAAGTATGTTTGTCATCATACATCTTGTAGCAAATCCATTTTCTTTTCTCTGTTAGCTCGGCGACGATTAACCAGAGATTTTCCTGAATTAGCAACAACTCCATTGCCTAAAGACTCCATCTTTTTCTTCTCCTCCTTTGCAGATTTCAGAATACCACGAAACATTACTCATACAGACAAAAGTACTCAGAAATGATGGAGGGAAGCAAAATTGGAGTTTGTAAAGAAACTATAGTTCTCAGCCTTTGATAGTGGAAAACAACACACACTTCCAGATAAGAATTGAGTATCGATCACTTTCACTGTGACCAGTAATTTCACTAAGAGTATCTATTTTTTTAGAAAGAAAAAAAGCAAAGATTCGGTTGTGAAATAGTTCCCCAATGTTGAAGCCAAGAATCTTAAGAAATATCTGAAAATCCAATAACAAGAGAATTTTTAATCAGATTTTAGTCATCTAAAGGAAAAAACTTTTTCAGAAGCTAAGCAGAACCCACCAAGAAAATTTCCCCAAAGCACAAAAGAAAGCAATCAAAATTGGGTTTACAAAAGCAAAAAATGAAAGAGAAAGAGAGAGAGAGAGATATAGAAAGAGAAAGAGAAAGAAGAAAGAGGAAAAGTTACTTGATTGGTGTCATGCTTTGAAGGAGCTTTCATGGAGGAAAGGGCAGCTCGAACACTAGTGTTCATCGCTTCTCTCTCTCTCTATCTCTCTGTCTCTCTCTCTCTCTTCAACTATTGCTTTCTCGCCACTCTAACTGATATAAACCCAAGAGAGAGACCCCATCAGATAAAAAACACAAAACAGAAGTAAAAAGAAAGATACAGTTACATGTTTAAGTATGAGGACAATTAAGAAAACTGGGAAACAAAAAACTTGTTCTTTTTAACTTTTCTGAGATTAATTAATTACTGTAATAGAAATTGAGTACCTCCTGATTTATGAACACAGAGCGGGAAAACTTAAAGATAAAGCGACCCAGAAGCAGAAAAAGGCTGTCATGTGTTTTAATTGAAGCTTATGTTTCCCAAAGATCCACAATTTGATACTATATTTAATCCATATATATATATGTATGTATAGATCGCTTTGGTCAGATAATCTCGAAAAGAACGAGGAAGAGAACTACAGAATTTATTGGAGGTGAAGAAGCAGCAGAAGAAACGACGACTAATCAGCGTTTAATCACCATTTCTGCTAGCTAATTTAATTTTGTTTTAAAAACAATTTCTATAGATTAGAAAGAATTTATAAAAATGAGATGATATTCTCGGAGGAGAAGATGTGAGATCTGATGAGTGACCAGCTCTTAGGCTGGTGGGAAATTGTGAGATGAGGACAACCAGAAAGAGAGCGACTTTATCATATATTTTTTTCTCTGTTATTAATTAAAATTTGGTATTTAGTGGCTTGGTGCTTTCATTTTCTCTCAATCTTTCACTTCTTCCATTTAAAGAAGTGAAATCATATTAATCTATTTCACTCCAGGTTTTTTAAATACAGTATAAGAAAAATGTTCCTAAATAGAAGAGTAAATAAAATCAGGTTTTATTTTAAGTATTATTGTCAGTATTAATATTATTTACTTGTAGTGTAATATAATTATTAAACGATATTTGAGCATTGTATATATATATATATATATATCATTTTGTCCGTTTGAGTACTTTGGTGGTTTCCAGCTTTTTGTTTTGAGTTTTACGTTGTGAGTGATAATTTCTCGAGCAAGTTAGATGGAAATTCCAAAATTATTTGGTCACAACTCACAACTATTCTAATAAGAGTAGAACTTTAAAGCTGTCACTGGGAAAATAAACAACTTCTAGTTACATTTCTATATCTTAAAAACCTCATATCAGGTCAATCTCACTTCTCACACTTGCTGATTAGTTTAACTAGAGCTTATAAATAACCAATTGATTAGGTAGGGATTATATTAAACCGAAGTTTTGTAATCAATTATGCAGGCTGTACTTAAAGCGTTTTTGCAGGGTTAAATTCTGATACCTTTTAGAGAAAGCAAAGTTAACGTGCTTATTAATTATGATGTTAAACGAAAAAATAAAGTTAAAAACTCGAAAGATGCTGACATCTCACTAGAATAACCTTTTTCACATTTGATTTTCATTTCTCCTTTTGTCTGCTGTCAAATCGGGTCGATCCACACACACAAAAAAAGGAAGTAATTAAGAAAATGTGAGATTAAGGGTTAATATATATATATATATATATGTTTTTCCTACTGACTTTGAAATTGATTCAGATGATTAGATCTATTTTGGTTAGCTCTTAAATCAAACTTGTTAAATAACTAAATAAAAAAAAGAAACAACTTAATGAGTTAACTAATGGCTTAGAGTTTTTGCAAAACATTTGTTAGCAAACTCATAAAAACAACAAATCATGAAAAACCAGAAACATTTGTTAGCGAACATGTTGGGTCCTAAGATGAAAAAGGAAACTCATTAAAAGTGGTAATGTCACACCACGGAAATATATGAAAGTGATTACAATTATTATTTCAACAATTTTGAAAAAAAAATAGATATGGAGAGATTGCATTTACCAAGGCTAAGCATGGTAATATTATACAGTATTACCATCAATAATTGATTATTATAATCAACTAACATGGCTGTTTATAGTAGTGAGTATTAACTAATGACGAGAAAGAAACGGTGGATTAGGTATAAATTGTGAAAGGAATTAAATGATAATTTGGCAGATTCTAGTAAGCATTAGCACGTGACAAAGCTTTAAACAAAACTAGCTTTTTAACACTCATGCTTCCATTTCTCTTGTGGCCCCCATTAATCATGCTCGATGTATGCATATATAGTACATTGTTACGGAATGCAACTCTTTCTCCCATGTTATTACACTCTAGTGATACATACAATTCATCTTTCATATCAAATGAAGTTCGTGTATATGATTTATTATTATTATTTACATTCTTGTCCACCATTTCTCATACATTTGTATCACTATGAGAATGCCAACTGTGTTAACCAAGATCAAAAGAATGACGTTTCAAAGGAAAGAAATGCAGTATTATGGACAAGTATTTTTACTGTATTTACAGACTATTTTATTAATGGGTCGATCTAGTAGCCACGAATATCAACGTAGAATGTAAATAAGAAACCTGATACTTTGCTGATAACGCAAATATAAAATATATATAAGATATTTAGTAGATGCGCGCACATATAACTAAAAGAAAACTTCGAACGTGCATCAATTAATCGTAAAGAGTGATAAAACAATGTAAGGCATGCGTCTCGCCATCCAAATCATTATTTCCTCTTCTTTATATATATATATATATAATTTACTTTTTATTAAGCTTTAAGTATTAACCCCCAACACAGACTTTACTAAGGTGAACACAAGTTTCCTCGCGATCCAGTATAACAACGATGCACCTTTTTTAATCAGCTGAAAACTGTATGAGACAATATTTGAAAACTGATCATCTAAATATGTACATACAATTCTAATGCCATTTTTTTATTTTATTTTATTTTCTAGATGAGATACATTTTGATTTTTGAAAATCAATCGGGCTAGTCACACTACGATGCATTAGAAATTTATCTAAACAAAACATATAAGTATATCTCTTATGTGTTTCTATCATTTTATGTACAGATATAATCAGTACTGATCGTAGTCAGAAAGCTTGATAATACACTTATTGTATTTTGATAGTTATTGTGTATCAGTCATTAATTTGAACATTAAATCTGAAGTAGAATTTGTAAAGATTAATAACTGAACCACCATAATTGGATCTCTCAATTCTCCTAACCGAGACGAAGACAATCATCAAAGTATCAAAGTATACCAATAAAAAGAAATGGTCCAAGGCTGAGCTCAGCATAAATTGCATAAAACCCTTTTGCTTTTTTTTTTTCCGTTTTTTCTTACATATATAACTTTGCTCTACTTTTGGCACCCACACTATGGTCCCGCATCATGTGGGCACATATTGGGCCTTAACCCGGCGATCAAAGAGCAAAAACACGAATTTTTTTTAGAATTTTAGAATAACAATCATGGCATTTGTAAACTAATATACGATATTTTTGAAGTCTAGAGTAATATAAACTGCGTGTTAAAACATAAATATTTTTTATTCTTAAACTAAAAAAAAATTATACCAAATTTATGTTCGCATTTACTCCGCAAATGGTCGACGTCATTTATTTCCCAATATGCATATCAATCTGGAAAATTTGGGAATTTTAATAAACAAACAAAATTTCTTACGACAAACGAAAAAAACAAATTTTCTTTTGTCAGTTTTCCTTTTACAATGGACCATACTCAGCTTCAAGTGAATTTTTATAAATTCACAATGTCCAAAAGAAGAAAAAAAAAAGAACAGATTTGTTTGCTACACAAGTATCATTCTCAGACAGTTATCGCAAAACATTTGTATTTTTAGTACGTTTAACCTCCTAGATTACAATTAAATGAGTAAACTAATTACTCAATTGAATTTAACATTCATCGCCATTTCCAATATAGGATATCTAACATATCTCATCCATGTAAAATTGAAAACAATTCATTGTTTTGGAGATATAAATATACATAACGTGATAACACTATTAAACTCCAAAATGATGGTATATAATTAATTTCTTCAAAATTCTTATATGACCATAACGTTAACATGCTAGCTATAGATGTAATTAGTATATTAGATAACACATAATTGTTTCCTCTGATCATCTAGCCTCTTCCCATCACATGCCATTAATGGACCTATGTGGCGCTGATAGTAACGTACAACCATGACATCTCGTAAGATCTTAACACAACTTAAACATAAATTTGCTCTTGTGAATATTTTAATTTCATATAAGGTAACATTTTGGATCTATATAGGTCCTTTTTGCCTTTCTCTATAAATTTGCCACATTTATACACATAAAATTAGCTCATATCCATTGATCGGTCCCCAAATTTTCAATGATTGGTCAATTTTTTCTTCCTTCTGATAACCAATGTGGTCCAATAAGACAAGTGAATAGGGTCCATTTAGAGCTAGCGTACGTGGTACATAGCATGTTCACTATCACTTATGAGCGCATGCAAGTGAAACTACATGTCAAAACCTTACGCCATATATACACACACATATATGTATATATATATATATATATTTGTCACTGACTCAATATATATCGCTATATACAGAAAAATATAACTTTTAATTGATCACATATTTTGTCAAAATCTAGTTGTTTTGTATCATTAGGCCCAAAGAATGTTTTTGTGTCAGTTTTTTTCTTCTGATATAACAAGGATAGAACAAAGAAAAAATCTGATAAAAAATTCACTAACAGTAAAGTTCAAACTCGTACTACTTTCCAAAGATAATAGTGATGATACACAAAAAAACAGATTATTAAACTTAGAACAAAGGTTAAGACGTATTAGTGGTGTTATGCAAGTTAGAAACACATCTTTGGATCTATTAAAAATATATCATATAAGAATATAATGTAGAATTTGATCAAATCAAAAGCATTGTGACAGATTTTTTTTTAAAAAAATTAACTTCAATCATCCTTATTGCTATCTAAACTATTATACATCTAATAATGTTTTAAACGTAACTTAATTCATAACTATAAAAATAATGTATTAAATTCAATAATTTCGAAGCTTATATATTTAAAATCAAATTTTAAAGGTTGTTATTTATAAAATATTTTGGCAACTTTTATTAAAAAAGATATGTCATGATGATAATAATATAATAGTAACTAAATGATTGAACAAAAGGGTTAAAAGCTACTGGGAAATAAATGAATGAAGGAAGGAAGTTGCATCTTTATCATAAAGCTGTACTGCCTCGGTGTGACAGAACAACCAAGATAAGGAAAGAGTACTGTGGTCACTGGTTAACGTCAATTTCCCTGATATCGGAATGTGTGATTAATCCACTAATTATCAATTTATAACAAGTCCTTTTAAGTTTCAACTGTTCCGTAATTAGCAAACGTAATTACAACTAATGGTGTACTCAAATTGCTGCGTCATGCCCATTTTTGTAAGATATATTGAGCCTTAATTTTGAAACCATATAGAGGCCCAAGTAATGATAAAGCCCATTCGTTTTCTTAAATCGGAAAACTATGGGAATATTGTACTTTTGTTGAGAAAATGTGAAATTAAAGAAAGATAACCGGCCATCCATACCGATGGTTTACTAGGTTATTGGGTCGAATCCTTGTGATCTTTGATCAATTTGGTAAAACATTAGTAAAGGTCAACTAAGGTCAAAGCAAACCAGGTAAGTGAGATACTATAAAATTAGTTATCGATCGATGTAGTTAAATCAGATGAAAAGCAACATAAGCTAATCCTGAGATCAACTCCACGTATGCCATGTATGGAAGAGGAGTTAGAAAAAAGTCTTGGATAGGGACTTAGGGAGGGAGATATGTGTCCTAGTAAAACCAGGATATTCAAACTCAATTATCAAAAGAAACAAAAAACGGATAATTGAGTTCTGAATCTTTTGATGCAGATCTCGTTGGCTATTGTTTTATTGGAAATTAAGTCCACGAAGGAAATACTTATTTATTTCTTAACATTATCTATTACAATTATGCCTCTTAAATTAAGCTTATATTTGTTTTGAATGCTCCAGCTCAACATTGAAATCGTCTCTAAATTACTATAATATTATATATCAAATTCCAACGAAATTACTAGAATCATGATTAGCACGAAATGTATGAAGAAAAGTCTGACCTAGTAAACAAATCTTTGAGAATATCCTACACGTGAAAATGAAATTGTATATTTATATATAATATACTCACACGACAAAATATATCGCATATACCATTGCATTAGTTATTATTTTTGGTCCCCTAATACACTAAGTGATTCCTGGCAATTAGGTTTTTAAGTTAAACTAGATAACTGATCTCCAAGCAATTGGACAATTGGTCATGCATGATTCATGACATATACGATAAAATATCCCGCCAAATTAATTATATAATCGATTAAAGAAATTGGACAATCAGAAACCTAAATTTGAACTCCATGACACACCAGAAGAAAAAGAGAGGGAAAAAAACAACGAAGGCAGGAGATCATCTTCACAATGACTTGAGTCACTTGACAGATCGATGTCTTTAGAACAAGTCTGAATAGTGGATCGAGAGGGAAGGTGTGCCGTAGCAAATCCAAAAAATCTAAACTCAAAGTTTTTTATTCAGTTGTGAACATTTGGATGCAGAACTCGTTTGCTGTTTAAATTCTTTATTCAAACATATTTCTCGTAAATTAATCCTATGACAGCTCAAGCTCGACGACATTGATATTGTTCATTACTTTGACATAGTTCATTACTATAACTTATCTTATTCCAAAGAAATATATATAAGCTACAATCCTGATTAGCACGAAATGTGTGTAGAAAAGTCTGACCAAAATAAACTATAAGTATTTAGAATCCTCTAATAGCGTGAAATTGTGCATTTATATATATACACGATCTTGACATCCAAAACATTAACAAAAATTCGATTTAGAATCTTCTAACTCAAAATTAAGATCGATCAATTATAATGGAGGACGGTTCGTCGTGCAAGAAAAATAAACCACCAGCGTGTGGAAATCTCGTAACCATCCTTAGCCTCGATGGCGGCGGAGTCAGAGGAATCATCGCCGGAGTCATCCTTGCTTATCTCGAAAAACAACTTCAGGTATATATATATATATATATATATATATATATATATATGATCTTGATTTCTTGTTTGATTCTTTGCAAGATAGTTAATGTGTTAATTCAATTCTTGTCGGCATATATAAACAGGAACTCGATGGAGAAGACGTGAGGCTAGCTGATTACTTCGACGTTGTAGCCGGAACCAGTACCGGTGGTCTCGTGACGGCGATGTTAACCGTACCAGACGAGACCGGACGGCCTCATTTCGCGGCTAAAGACATTGTTCCGTTTTACCTTGAACATACTCCCAAGATATTTCCACAGCCTGAGTAAGACCATATAAAATTAACTAAATTTTCATTGAGTTTTTCTTCTACTTTGCATATATCATTTGGAAAAAAAAAAAACATAGTGAGACGATGTAGTTATAGTTAGTCGTTTGCATTTACTATTTCAAATATCGAAAAAGATGAAGTTTTTTCTTAGAAAAAAAAAAAAAAAACAGAACAAGTGGGGCATTATACGTGCCTGTTGCCATAAAATTTTCGATATCTGAAATAGTAATTAGTACTATTTTGTCTAATGGAGTAAGTATAATTATAAATTCCAAGTGGCAATTAAGAAAAAATTCTAGTGAAAAATGCAGAGGCTTGTTTGCTCTGTTACCAAAGCTTCCAAAGCTTCTGTCTGGTCCAAAATACGACGGAAAATATCTGAAGAATCTACTAAGTAAGCTTCTTGGAGAGAAAAGACTTCACCAGACACTCACAAACGTTGTAATAACTACCTTCGACATCAAGAAACTTCAACCCACTATCTTCTCCTCTTACCAGGTAATTTCGATCTCTAGATCTCTCTCCTTAACACAACACATAGACCAAGAGATCTCAAGTTCTTTGTTTCATCTTGATCAATCTAACATCATTAGTGGGTTGTTTGAAGACGTTGACTGACCCTAGCTTGGACGTCAAGTTATCAGACATATGCCTTGGCACATCGGCTGCTCCTACTTACTTTCCTCCTCATTTCTTTTCCAATGAAGATAGTCAAGGCAAGACGACCGAGTTTCACCTCGTTGATGGCGCCGTTAGTGCTAATAACCCGGTAAAACACACCACTTATAACCATCTCTTAGATAGTTAAATTGAAAAAACAAAAAAAAACAAAATCAGAAAAATTAATTAGATAGGAATGTATTCTCTACCATTTTTGACAAAAATGGAAAGAGAACTAATCATCCAGTCTGTTTTTGTGTGTTTGGTCTTATTATAGACTTTGGTGGCTATGACTGCTGTGTCTAAGCAGATTTTGAAGCACAATCCTGATATGGGAAAGCTCAAGCCACTAGGTTACGACAAGTTCTTAGTTATATCGATAGGGACAGGGACTGCAAAAAAGGAGGAGAATTATAGCGCAAAAAAGGCTGCAAAATGGGGAATCATATCTTGGTTATATGACGATGGATCTACTCCGATATTAGATATTACCATGGAATCAAGCCGAGACATGATCCATTTCCACAGCTCTGTTTTGTTCAAAGCTCTTCAATCCGAGGATAAGTATCTCAGGATCGATGTAAGAGATACACTTCAACATATATATGTAAAAATGTTGTAATAATCGATCCTTCGATTATTTATGTGAGTCTTTGTGTGTGAACTTGATTATTGCAGGATGATACATTGGAAGGAGATGAAAGCTATATGGATCTAGCAACAAAACCCAACTTGGATAATCTTGTAAAGATTGGAGAGAAGGTGCTGAAAAACAGAGTCATGCATATGAACATCGACACTGGCGTTTATGAACCAATTCTTGAAAACATCACAAATGATCAAGAACTCAAGAGGTGATTAATACAGTTATAAGTTTCAAAAATTTTGATTACGGTTTTCTTGGATGGGAAGTAATCTCATTGTTTGATACATGTTAATGCAGGTTTGCGAAAATTCTCTCCGATGAAAGGAAATTAAGGAGAATGAGAAGCAACACAATGAAAAAAGATTCTTCAAACTGATCAAAAGAGATCAAATATGAAAGACATCTTCATAATCACTCGTGATTTTGTTTTTAGTTGTGTGAACTAATGTTTTTAGTTGCGTGAACTATTGTTTTGAGTTTGATGCTGATGATATTGTGTGCGTGTGTGTAGTTCGGCGAACTATCTGTTCGCCTTTGTTGTTGTTGGTTTTTAAATATTATTCTGATATAATTCTTTTCGCAAAACGAAAAAAAGAAGAAGTTACAAATCAAAGTAATAACTTTTCCAGATTGCATATTTGTTAAGTACAAAGGTCGATGTCCGTTAATTTAAAATTCCCGAACGTGAAATAAAAACTATGATCGTTGATTCAAAAAAGCTGATCATAGAAAACAAAATCAAGCTCTACAACTATAATACTATCGTGAAGTTGGAATAACAACTATTTATCCACACTTAATCATTCGGTAAAATTAAGCATCAAAGTGGACAATTTATGTATGTCATCATTAAAGAATTGTATCTTTCTTAGGAGGATGTTCAGTGTTACAAGCACTGGACCCCTTCAAGACCCGTGGACAAAAATAAACGTTCATATATGTATGTTAACACGCCAAAGAGTATATTAACCATATTTACACATTATTACATAATTAGGTAAGTAATACAAAATTGTAAAAAAGGTCAACCAAAGGAAACGAGATACGTGAAGAATTGCATCATAGGATGTGAAGGGGTAAGATATTACTAAATGATTCAATTTTTAATTCAATTTTAATTAACGCGAAAAACATTTGACGACCGGATATAATAATCTCTCAAACGTGGAACATAGATACGTTTTGTCCTACTTGTCACGGCATGGCCATAATTTATATAAAAAAATCGATTAAACAAACCCGACATCCTCATATATATATCAAGAACAACATATATTTCTGTTGACATTTAATTTTAGTTCGAATTACAGTAAAAATGATGCATTATTTTGATCCGTAAACACCTACTATTACTTTCGTTTTGTTAAACCTGGCTCAACTTTAATTTCTTAGTTTTTTTCATCTTTAGGAAAATGCCTAAAACTAATTTTAAAATTGTATGCAAGCAAATCCCTTTCTTATGATCTAATTATTAATTACCCTTGATATATCCAAAATTTATTTTAACTAATCTACTTTTGAAAATTTATCTTTTTAATCTCATTAGGGAAAAAATATATTACGCCTACATAAAAAACGTGGTAAAAGATATTGTAGGAAGTGAAACGATATTTGTCGTCGTGTAGACTAACCGTAACCATTCCATATCCATAATTTAGGCCACTTTTTATTGCTTAGAGTAACGGTTACATTTGCTTGGAAGTATGGTTCTCGTTGTCTTATACGTAAATGTTGTTATTGGACAATCTGATTCATGTTTCAAACGAAGCTCCCCAGTTCTAAAATGTTAGTTCTATTGTTAAAGTATCTGATATAAATATTTAAGAATCTGGATATGAAACTCCAACAAAAATATATTAACTTCAGGGTGGTAATAAGCGAGGAGTCAGATTACTATTGAAAATTTCTGAATACTGAGGAATAAAAAGATCCCACAAAAGGTGAAAATGTTAGAAAGTAGCGGTAGGTATTATCTAGTACTATTTTTTATAAAAAAAATGAAATATATACGTTCAGGTGACTTTTGCTCCTAATTTGTGTGCATGTATGCCTATTCATTGTAAAAAACAGTTGTCATCTAGACTTTTTTTTTTCAATAAAGAGGTATGTGTGTAACATGACATGCTCGTTGACAACAACAAAAACAAGTGTAACATGAGTCCATGACATGCTATAAGTTAGCAAAAAAATGCTATAAGGTAAGGTAACCATAATTTAGTGTAACTAATGGGCGTGAGAGTGATAGACACGACATCCAAATCAGGAAACCTCCCATTAGATTCACCAAAAAGAAAAAACAACACTAATGTGATGTATATATGTGTTTATGTACATACACTCGCTTATATAACATATACATCTTTTTCTATATAAATGGGTGTGTGTTTATGTGTACGTAACGGTAGTTCAAAGAGTTTCATCACATTTATCACCATCTCCATCCTGAAACGCGGACGCGAGATTGATCACTAACCGAAAGACATTCTTTTAAAAAAAGAAAGAAGAAATTAGGATGAGTGATAATAGGCAAGACCGAAGAAGAAGAGTCTGTTGTCTTCCTCCTTCATACGGACAACTTGTGACGATCCTTAGCATCGATGGTGGTGGGATCCGTGGGATCATTCCTGGTACCATCTTGGCTTACCTCGAATCACAACTCCAGGTATATATATTTATCAACTATGCTTGAATCCTAATTAACAATTAATTAAGTACTGTTTTCAAAGTAAACGGCTGTAAATATATATATATATATATATATTGTGTATTAGTTTGATTGTAAAAATGTCTATATATTATACAGGAATTGGATGGTGAGGAGGCAAGGCTTGTGGATTATTTCGATGTCATCTCGGGAACAAGTACCGGAGGTTTAATAGTTGCGATGTTGACAGCAGAGGGAACAGAAGTCAAAGGCAGTGACCAGAGCCTTAGCAGCAACCGCCCTTTGTTTTCGGCCAAAGAAATCGTCCCTTTTTATCTCAAATACTCTCCTAAGATCTTCCCTCAACCGCGGTATGTGTCTTAAAGCGTTAGCGTTTAATCTGATTCTATAGAGTAGAGTAATCTGATAACTTAACAGGTCAGTTTATCAATGTGCAGAGGTTTTTGTGGTTGGGGTGAAATCATGGTGAGACTTGTACGAGGACCAAAGTACAACGGGAAATATCTTCAAGAGCTAATCAAAGGTTTCTTGGGTGACACGAAACTGACTCAAACTCTGACCAATGTTGTCATACCTTGCTTCGACATCAAGAAACTCCAGCCAGTTATCTTCTCTTCTTACCAGGTAAACACTAAATATCATTAATTAATCCGCCTTACACATACATTCGCGTCATGGACATTGATCCAATGTCATAAATCTATATATAGGCGGTGAATCATCGGCTTATCGACGCAAAACTATCAGATATATGCATAAGCACATCAGCCGCGCCAACTTATTTTCCGGCTCATCAGTTCACCAACGAAGACAATCAAGGAAATAAACATGAATTTAACCTCATTGATGGTGGTATTGCTGCCAATGACCCGGTAAAATCAAAACCCTAAATATGAATGAAACCCTAATTCGACCAACGATCAGGTGGTCATGTGATGATGTTTTTCTTTCTTTGGCAGACTTTATGTGCGATTGCGGAAGTGACAAAGCAGATAGTGAAGAAGAATCCAGCGATGGGAAACATAAGCCCATTGGATTATACGAGGTTTATGGTGATCTCTCTTGGGACAGGTTCGATTAGGAATCAAGAGAAGTATGATGCAAAAACGGCTTCGAAATGGGGATTGATGTGTTGGGTCTATGCAAATGGAGAAACTCCAATTCTTGATTGTTACAATGAAGCCATTCACGACATGGTTGATTACCAAAGCTCTATCGTATTTCAAGCTCTTCGTTCCGAGAACAATTACTTACGTATCGATGTGAGTTTCTTCCCTCTGATAATTAATAAAAATTGACACAATTATTGGTATAAGTGGGATTAAGAAGTACTGAAATTACTAGGAACTCTCAGTTAAGGCAGAATTTTTTTTGTAGTTATGTATAGTCCACGCTAATGATGGTTGGATGTTGTTTTCTACTTTGAATATCTCAAAAATCCATATATTTGGTCATATAATAAGAAGTTAACTAAACGTTTTGGTTTTCTAGTTAATTTGAATTTTTCTAAATTCAGACCTTCTTGGTTGTGTAATAAGTTAATCTATACAAAATGGTAAGGATTGATTTCTTGTAAAGGTTGGTCTATATGGTATTTGTCTTGCACGAAAACACTAATCACAGAAGTAAAAAATAAAAGTAAAATTGTCAGTGAAGGGTCAATTTTATTAACCCAAATATATAAAAATAATTTACTTTTATGTTTTTCTATTACAGGACGATACGTTGAAAGGTGACCTAGGTTCAGTGGATATATCGACAAAAGAGAACATGGAAGGTCTTGTAGAAGTTGGCGAAGCTTTATTGAAGAAAAGAGTTTCTCGTGTCAATCTCGAAAGTGGCCATTACGAACCCATCTCTGATCACGTAACCAATGAAGAAGCTCTCAAAAGGTTTATAATTTTTTTTATTATTATTAAACAGGAAAAACAATATTTCTTACTTACTTGATATATACTAATGCTGGCTTTAATCAACAATAAAACACTCTTTAAATGAATTACAGGTTTGCAAAGGTTCTTTCAGATGAAAGGAAGCTCAGAGAATCAAGATCTCCTAAACTCAACATCTGATTTTTGGTTGTACCAAAAAAAATTCTGTAAAATTCATTGTTTGTGTCTCTTATTTGTGTGATTACTGCAGAGATTCGCTTTACTTTGTGAGCAAAAGAATAGTTGTATATGAATATGATTCTTAGTTTGTTACATACCTTTTTGGCTTTGGGTTTATTCTAATAAAGATCAATCAGAGACAAATTCGAGAATCATTTTTCAACAGCTGGTTAGTATCTCAGCTCCATCTTTGGTTATAAGAATCGTATGCTCGAATTGTGCAGAGAGGCTTGCATCTTCTGTTACCACGGTCCAATTATCATCCCACATCACCGGGTTTCTGCTTCCTATCGTAAGCATTGGCTCTATAGTGAAGGTTTGATTCAAGACCATACGTCCAGCTTCATTGTTCCCTGTGAAGAAGATGAAATTCAGAACTATGGCCACAAACACAAAGCAATTTCAATACATTGAGTAGTGGACAAACTTACGGAAGTGTAGAACAACAGGATCGGCGTGGAAGACACGTCCAACACCATGGCCTACAAATTGTCGAACCACTCCATATCTATGTTTATCTGCAAGATCACTTGATAAAGATTTGATTTTTCAATAAGCAGATGCCAAAACCGATGAATAAAAAAAGGATAATAGGTCGAGAGATATCTTTGGTCTCTTACTGAATGATTTTGCCGATTTTCTTGTACTCAACTCCAGGTCCACATATCGATATCGCTTTGTCTAGAGACTCTTTTGTCACCTAGTCCACATTCCAAAGCATGAAAATCTCATCAAACTATATAACAAAAACAGGTTTTTCCAAAGAACTGATTTTGGCGAGACGTTAAACCTGGACTAGCTTTTTAGCTTTCTCGTCAACATTTCCACAGAAGAAAGTTGCTGAAGTATCACCGTGATAACCCTGCATAAGCATCCAAAGAATAGAGTAAACACAACTTAATTTAACTAGTGAAGGATCAGAAAATACGCAGAAGAATACAACTTACGTTCAAATACACTGTGACATCAATGTTGATTATATCTCCATCCTGCAAGAAGAGAGAACATATAAATAGGATTCGCGAGTAAAAGACAAGGAAAACAAAAATCTGTTTTTTAGACCTCAAGTGGTCGTGAATCAGGAATTCCATGGCAAATGCATTCATTCACAGATGTGCAAACACTTTTCGGGAAACCTCCATAGCCAAGAGGTGAAGGATACGCTCCATTCTCGATAATCATATTGTGAACTGCTTCATCGATTTCATCTGTGGTTATCCCTGGCTGCCAAATAGAACAAATGATGATTGATAAGATGTAGTATAACACTTTAAATTGTGTTTTTTTTTTTTACAAAGCAAAACAATAAAAGTATTAAACTTTGCTCACCTTAACTAAAGTCCCAGCGTATTCTCGAACCTTAGCTGCAAGTCTCCCAGAAGCTCTCATGCTCTCTATACCTTTCTTGTTATGAATTTCAAGCCCACTTGAGATTCCAGGAAGTTTAAGAGATTCGACATAAGGAGGTTTCGTTATATGGGAAGGCACAGGGCGACGAGGAGATACATTGCCCGGTCTCAGTCGTTTTCTCTTGCCATCAATAACTTCATCTACATTTCTTTAACCAGCAAACAACAAAGTGGAGAGTTTAAAGTTAATAAAGTAGAGTCCACATTCTATGCTTAAACATCATTCTTGTAATAGACATTCTCTGGTAAACAGAGTCCACATAGATTGTGTCCTTCTTATCAAAACTCAGTAGCTAAATTGAAAGAAAGTAGTAAACATCATAATACCTTCTATTAAACAGAAGATTGGTTAATCCCGAAAACGTTCTTGATAATTGCATCGAAACATGTCTTCTTCCTGCGAAAGAGAGCCCAGATTAACAAAAACCCCACATCGATTCAAGCATCATTTCGTTTCAAATTAAACACTATAAAATCTACCTCTCATTATTCAAACACTTCAGAAACGCAACGAGGAATTAAAATAGCAATTTGGCAACACGAAAGTCTTATTTATTTATTTTTTTGGTAATCTGCTCAACTAAATAAAACTAGAGTCGAAGAAGGAAGAAGAAGAAGAAGTGAGTGTGAAAAGAAAGAAGGACCTAAATCAAAGCGAAAGAGATGGAGAAGAGGCTGCGTCGATCGAATAGAGTTGTCGCCGAGAAAGGAAGAGATGATTCTGGGTTGCAGAGATTTGGCGGTCGCCATTTGTGGCTTCTCGGCGAGCTTCTTAATTGTAATTTTCAATTTTCACTTAAAGAAAAAAGAAGAGGTGGGAATTGGAAACCATTTAGGGTCTATTTAAAAAATAAAAAAATAAAAGAAAAGGAAATTGTATAATAAAATTATGGTTTCCTTTGTCGGATCGAATTAGGATGAGTAATCACAAATCCTTATATAAGAGATTCCAAGATGAATTGAATTCTTCTTATATTCTTTTCTCAAACTCGTTAGAAAAAAAAAAAAACAGAGACGAGTAATATCACGATGATGTCGAGGAGTTGCGGCAAAGAGCGACGGCTTACGAAGAGGAAACCGAAGTCGTGTTCTTGTCGGCCGTGTGGATTAGATTCGTTGCCAGTTGAGATGGCTCTGAGTTGCTTGGCCCGCGTCTCAAGATCAGACCACCCGTCGTTATCATTGGTCTCCAAGTCGCTCCGCTCTCTAACGCTATCCACCGAGCTCTACGACGTCCGATCCCAAATGGGTTTGACCGAAAAGTGCATCTTTCTCTGTTTAAGCATCCCTTCAGATCCATTTGTACGGTGGTTCGCCTTGTGCCCAAAACCCCTAAACCGGTTTCGTCCGCTGGTCCCAATCCGGCCACACTTGTATCAGCCATCGGAAGTATCCTCCGTGGTGGCACTCGGTTGCGGGATCTATATAATGGGTGGGGGGCTCAACGGGAAGCGATCGTCGAGGGTGTTTTACCTGGATTGCAGAACTCACACGTGGACCAATCTCCCTTCCATGGGGGTTGCTCGAGAATCTGCGGCGGCGGGTGTGGTCGACGGGAAGATATATGTATTTGGAGGGTGCGAGGATTGGGATTCCCCGAGGTGGGGAGAAGTTTTCGACCCAAAGAAGCAGACTTGGGATGCCCTCCCGATGCCGCCGGGTCAGTATAGTCTACGATTTCACTTAATCTACGAAAGCGCTGTGATAGAGGACAAGGTTTCCGCTGTGAATGCGTCAGCGAGAGGTTTGTTCTACGTACCGAGTGAAGGCAAATGGAAAGAAGGGAATAGGGACACCTTGGGAGTTAAAAAGGGTTGGTATGTCATAGACAATGTCATCTACTGTTGTGAATTTGGTGGGAAGATACTGTGGTGTGAGGCGAGTGAATTGGAGTGGCGCCAACCAGAGGCTATGGAGTGGAGAGAGGTCAAGGGCTTGGAGGCTCTAGAGGGCACTCTCCGTGCCTCCAAAATTGTCAAGTATGGTGGTGGCATGTTGGATCACTGGGAGTCAATCAATACGCACGTACTCGACCACATAGACCAGCAACTTCCCGGGTACAAACTGAGCAACTCTGGTCCCAACATGTTGCTCTTCTGGGACACGCTTTCTCTTGACAAAATGGAGCTTTGGTGTGCGGAGATATCTTTGGAGAGACGCAAAGAGACTGGTGAGATTTGGGGCTACATTCAGTGGTCAGACTCTCTCATCACATTCGATCCTCCCCCCAGTCCCTTCCGTCACTGCAAAATTTTGTATACTCAATCTCTCGACCTTTGAAAAACAATCTCAGTTAAAAAACTCTTTTTATAAATCCCAACCCAACTTTCCTTGCTCTGTTTTTCTGTGGATTTGAATCATCCCAATTTGATTTATACTCACCAACTCCTTGCAATACTTCACATCTTCCTTATATCATTGAATTTGACGTTACTTGTTTGGATGTCTCAGATAAGTTGTGTCCCATGGATCTTCCAGTCTACTGTTTTCTTTTTTCAGGAAATCGAGTATACAATCCTAGAAGTTAGTCAAGGAAATCTCATATTCTTTTGAAGGAAACAATCTGTGTGGAAAGTTATCTAAGTACCACAAGACACTGGAAGAACTTGTTGGATTCATCAGTGTCTTGTCTGAATGCTTCACAAGCAAAGATCCAAGGAGTGAAGAATCCATAGCCAACACTAACAAGAACACTGATCGCTATACTTAGACCTAACCATATCCCAAACAGTGAGAAGCCCCGGAAAAAAAGATTGGAAAGGTGGGAGATATCAGATTGATATGTCGGGGAATTAAAAGCTCATTTTGTTGCGTAAATAAACTTTAATAGAAGACACTAATGTATAAACTAAAAAAGGTATCATTATATCGTTATGAAGTGCGTCTCAAGTAACAAAACCTTGTAACATTTCCCATCAATGGTGCCAAGCTGGTGAGATACATATTGGAATTTAAGCCGATTTAGCCCCGTTACATGGCTTAAACAAACAAAGCTAAATGCTTAGCTACTTCTGTACATCCTTTTTAACACCTAGAAATAAAAAAAAAAACGCATCTTACAAAGGAAAAACGGAAACCCCTACAAATATAAGGAACAATTGTTGCTCCTCCTTAGGTTAGACCTCTTCAATGAAATCTCCAGAACTCATGGAACCGGTTCGATTCAATCCTTGTTTCTCTAACCAATACGTTATTAGAGCCTTAACCACTTGCCTGAACCTTCTCCTATAAGTTGGAAGCTTAGATACGCTCCGTACCATCCCCATCATTCTTCAACACACAATATCATTGTCTTTAGTGTGAGATTATTATAATCACAGAAGAAGTTTCATACACAATCAAAGAGGAGACAAAAAAAATTGAATCTTTACCTTCTGCTGATTCCTTGGATTTGAGCAGCTCGAAGGTTTTCCTGAGGTGGGCTACCGCGATTGTCCCAAGCTTCCATCCTTTGTTCATGGTTTCCAAAGAGAACAACTTTCTCCAAGTACCTAACTTCACTTTCTCCAAGTTTCATCACTCGAATCTGATCCTTCAGTACCATAACTGGATTAAAGCTCCAGTCCAAGAACTTGTCCTGTGGTCTATTCAAATGGGTCACTTCCGAGCCATCAAGCAAAAGGATACCACGAGCACCAGCTTTAATAGTGGTAAGCAATGTATGCAGCAAAGCGTAACAAGGAAGCCCGACATTAATAATCGATGATTCGTTTCCGTGTCTTCCCTTTAAAGACTCGTAGAGATCAGTTGATGTTATCACTCCTGTGTCTAGTAGTTCTTTGCCTTGCATCTCAAACCACCCCATCATATTCTCCCAAATCTGTAGAAAAGCTATGAGTTTAAAAGTCCCTAGTTAGAAATGTTGCGAATTTGGTATTCGGACCATATACCTGAACCATTCTCACTTCTTGTATTGCTTCTCTAACCGACACAGAGCGAACCAGGCTTGGTACTAGCATAGCTGGAGCTTCTGCAGAACCGGAACTATTGACTCTGCTTACACCTGAAGGGTAAACAATTACAGAAACTTCACTTGAAATAGATCCTTTTGTCATCCGATATCTTGGCCTGTGTGTACAAGTTCCTGGTGTTAGGATTCTCAAGGCAAAAGAAAGACAAAGGGTAAAAACAGAGAGACATACTTTGGGAAGATAGTTCCTTCTCTAAGGTAAAGCCAATCATTTGTGTACTCATCAAATTCCCCAACTACTGCAATCACATAAGACACTCCTCTTCTGAATGACCTTTCCTGCAAAACAGAGATTCAAACGGGTGAAAAAAAGGGATTCCTGAGAATTTTTTAGCTCGGATCATTCGGTAATAAGGATCAATGGAGACCTGAAATACAACGACTGCTCCATATAAGCCGACAAAGATGCTGGAGAAGATGGTTACCAAAACAAATCCAATGACGATAATAGGCCATAACAGTATTGTCAAACCAGCAACTGGGATACAAGCTATTTCAAGGAATGGTCCTTCTCGGTTAATCGCGTCTTGAGCTAGTCGGTACCAGCCTTTGAACAGAAGATAAGGGCTTTTAATAACGGCGATTGCAGTGAGAAGAGGTATATCAATGACTAATCCTATAATCCCTACAATTATGCATCCAGGAACATGAATCAACCTGAAAGAAGAGACAACATATATATATCAGTACTCAAGAATCAGCAAAAAGAACTCTATGTTAAGCAAAATGTTACTTGACCTAAGAGTCTGAAGCTCATCTGAAGCTTGGGATTCACGCAATTCTTTTAAGTAAAGCGGATAAGAATGGTAACAAATATCTGCGAAATCAGTAACTACGGTACAACTTCCTTTGATGGTTCCCCAAGTTCCATCCTAATAATACAGTACAAAAACCACATTAAACAGAGTCACAAAGAGATATGATTCACTATTTTAAAAGTGATTAGGAACACTATGGAAGAGGGTTCTTGAAAATACCACAAGACAGTGGAAGAACTTGTTGGATTCAGTGTCTTGTCTGAATGCTTCAAAAGCAGAGATCCAAGGAGTGAAGAATCCATAGCCAACACCAACAAGAACACTGATCGCTATGCTTAGTCCTAACCATATCACAAACAATGCAGGAATTGCCACCAAGATTGCTAATTTCAGAGGAATGTCAAATCTATTTGTCCTGCATAACACAAGACGATACCATATGTATATGTTTATGGAATGATTCTTTTGTTGAGAAGGAAATTGCAGGGAAAACAATTGAGGAAAAAAAAAAAAGAGTTGAATTTTTTTCTTTTACTTTGCAACAGCGTAAATTGTCCAAGTAACATGTGCAGGGAACAAACCAAGAATCACTCCAACATTTCCTGCTATTAATGTTAAACCAGCAACTGGACCTACGATCAAACCTGCAATATGAAAGAAATATTCAAAAAATTTGTGTAAAAAGATATAATTTTTGAAGAGAAACAGAGAAGGAGAACAAATGATCGAAACCTTTGAGAGCGCCGAGAAAGAAAGCAGAACAAAAGGCAAATATGACATAAGAAATTTTCAGACAGCTTCCTAAGTTAGTGACGACAGCCATACTCAAGAACAAACAAACAAAACAAACTCAGATTTTTTTTTAATCAATTTTACAAATTTCATAGCTCTCGAAAAATCACACAGAGAGAAAGGCGTGTCGTACAAGTCTGCGAAAGAGATGAAATCAGAAAAAGACAAAGAAGAGAGGACAAAAGACGCGAAGACTCAAACCCCGAGAGAACTCATTGGAGAAAATAATGTTCAGAGAAAGTTTGAGGAATTTCTTTGGGTATTACATGAATATACATGAGTATATTATTTATGTGACATTGGATAAAAACTGGTCAATACATGTGTAAATAAGCCATTGGGTATTTGGTTGCAGATGTTATACATGGCGTGCCAAGCAATTTATGATTTTGACATCCTCTGTTATTATTACAGTTGATATATTTTAGCATTTTTTTCCTAAAATAAAACCTTTTTATATAAAATTTAATTGTGTATAATTATAAGAACTGTTTTAAATTTAATGTTTTCTAATGAACAATATCATATTTTCTTCTATATAGATGCTATGAATTGAAATTATGGTTTTTTTAAAAAGAAATTACCGGCCAATAAGTGGAATACCGTGTATATGAGGAACAATAATGACGTCAGAACAATTAATTGTTTTTTAACGGATATGTAAGTAACAGTTGGGATGAAATGAAAGGCTATATTATTGCTGGCTATATGGGAATCTGACAAACTCAATATTGTCGAAGTCAAAACTAAGGAATGTTCTATGCATATGTACTTGCTCTTATCTTGTTATTATTGTTATATAAGATACAATTTAAAAGTATATGACAAAATTGCTTCCTTTTGACCTTCTAAAAGAAAAGTACAGAATAAATCCTCGCAAAATATACAAAGATCTCGAAGACTCGAACGGCAGTCAATTACCTAAAAAAATTAAACAGATTATGAAGACCAGGTTCTTCTAAAAGACCTCAACTTTTGATTTTAATTTGTTTGATGAAATTCGAATCAATAAGAATATGTATATAAGCTGTATTGGTACGTGTTATTGCGCTGCAGTAATTCTTCCAAACAAAAGCTATAGGTCCTATATTAGCAAATATTGTATTACTTTATAACACGTATACAACAAATCAGACAGTGTTATAAATTGTATAGTTACATAATAATGAAAAAATTTTAACTACAATGACAATCACCTATCGGGTACTTAATCCATTATTGCTAAAATCTTGTCTATTGCTTTATGTCTTCATCCAACCAAATGTTTAATGTTTTTTTGTCTACAAGACTACAACTGTCAAAACACAGCGTTGTAGACAAAAGTGCAGCAGAGAGACAGCTTCTCTCGCTTAAAAGTTAAAACAAACTAATGATTTCTCTGCAGAAGTCAGAGTAACATATAATTTGAAGCTTAAGAGCCATCAACCCTGCTTAGACGATATCCTTCAGATCGTATGAGCTAGATCCATGCGTTGTTATAAGATTTCAGAAATCTGCAAAAAGAAAGCACATTCTTATAAGCCACTTAATCGAAGATTAACAAAACAGCAGAAAGATTCTTGCTCTTTCATCAGTTGAGTCTACTATACATTGATTGGCATCTCTGCGATGATGATGCCGGCGCTTTCTTCAAGGCTTTTAAGAGTCGTTACTTCTCCTCCAACAACCATGTTTATGACAATCCCACCTTAAGAGAAAGTTTCAAATGTTAACATATGCCATTGTTGATGAACAAAGGAGTTTGTTCAGAAAAAAGATAAGAACCTGGAGCTAAGCAAGTTGTCATACGCCTTGTATAAGTTTCCTGTAACATGGTTATCACAACAAGAGAATGAGATAAGTCATCTTTTTATTTAACCATAAGAAAGAAAATTTGGGTTTGATTAATTAGATACCAACCTTCTTCGTAGGAAGCTCGTAGTTTATGAGAACTCTTGCGGAAAGAGAAGACTCTCCAGATGAAATTAGTGGAAGACAAACATCGGTTACAACTACCAAATGAGATTTCTTTTCTTCTTTTTCGGCTTCACTCTCGTCTAAAGCTTCTTCTACTACTGCAGAGTTGAGTTGCTGGTTCCAGTTGATAGTTGCTTTTCGGAATTTCTCTAAAACCAGAGTTCGGTCTCTCTCTGCTAGATCGCTGTACTGTAAGCACAATAGACACTGAAGTTGAACATAATCTAATGCCAAAATCGAAAACTAATCATGATGAGCAAGCAAGTATGACAACGATCAAGAACACAAAGAATCCGAAATCGAAACCGATGAATTCAACCAACATTTGTGGGAGCAAAGTATATCGGAAATTTTAACAAAATCTATGAGGAAGGCAATGATGTAATGTCAAATAGAACACTAATCATGATGAACAACAAGCAAGTAATTTAACAAGAAGGGTCTTTTCGAATCAAAAACATTAAAATCTCAAAGGATACAGAACACTAACAATCCGATATATAAAGAAAAAACAAGCGATCGAAAAGTGAAAGCTAAGAGACGAAGAGATACCAAAGCGGCTAAGGAGATGTAAGGAAGGGTGGACAAGGAAGAGCAGAGGGCGTCAAGTTCATCGCGAGAGCTGCAAGAGACTACAATCGGAAGCCATGGACGACGACCTAGAACGCCTAATAACTCCACTACAGTCTCCTGTGCCCTCCCCAAAATTTCCAAAATTGCAATTCGGAATTCAAGTTTCGCCTGATTTAACGGTGAAATTAAGATTGTGAAACACAAAATGTACATACCATTTTGAATTGGGGACGATCCACGGCGAGGTAGAAATGGAGCTGTTGACTACGAAAGAAAGCAAAAATTGGGTTTTAGAGGATTTTGATAGAGAAGGTATATGAGATAAAACTCAAAACTCAGCGAAATCCAGAAGTCAAACCTGGAACGAGAGGGAGACTGAAAAGGTGGAGATGGAGCTTCCATGGAATCCATAACCTCCGGATCCGAATTTCGAAAAATAGCTCAACTATATAAGCTAATTGATAGATAACTCTCAGGTCATCTCCACTCTACTTCATTTTCTATATTATAAATTATTCTCAAACCTATTCCATTTCCAATTGATAAAATCCAGCCCATTTTTTACTCTATTTTACAATAAATACTTTTTTAATTATAATATATTCCTTCAAAAAAATTAATAACTAGACTTATACTCCATTCGCGATTTTGTTTCACATAATATTTTTAAGTTTATTCCATTCGCGATTTTGTTTCACATATTAAACCTATTCCATTTTCAAATAAAAAAACTTTTTTTTAAACCAATCTCATTTTTAACTTTATATTAAAATAATACTTTTTTATTTATAATACTCTGTATAAAATAATATTTGTTTCACATATTAAACCTATTCCATTTTCAAATAAAAAAAACTTTTTTAAAACCAGTCTCATTTTTAACTTTATACTAGATTCTAACCCCGTGCATCCGCACGGGAATATTTTTTACTGTTTAACGAATTTTGTAATATAATTTGTGTTTTTGATTTTAGATATAATTATTTTTATAAATATATTTTTTAATAAGTGAAAATATTGATTTTTGTGTTTAGATATATTTTTATAGTATTAAAATTAATTATGATTATAAAAATATAATTTTAACCTGTCCGTTAATATTAATTCAAAATGAACTATTATAAAAACATAATTCTAACTTTTTCGTTCATATTACCGTATAATATAAATATTTGTTAAAAGTTTGAGATGTATTAACAGTATTATTTAGCATTATAGTTTTCTAAAATTGAATCAACAAATGGAGTGTACAACTGGTTTTTCAAACCACATTATAGAGTGTATGCAATAATTTTTAATTTTTAATGTTTTTATTTTGTATAAAAAATATATTTTCGATATACATGTTATAATTCAAAATTAGTGATTTTAGTTACCAAAATATTTTTACCCAATTTTTATATATATTTTTAATTCTATGAATTTTAAAATATATATTTTTAATATTTAAATTATATATTTGAATTTTACCTATTATTTTATTATTAATTTGTAAATAAATCATAATCGTATATATATATATTATATAAGCAACATAAATATCATATCATTTACATCATTATAAATATTTTATATTTCAAATATGACCATTATTTTTTATATGTGAATTATTTTTTTTTAAAAATTCTAGATATTTTTGATAAAAATGTTTAATAGTATAGAAATTATTTAAATTAGAATCTTTAAATCAAATCTAAATTAATATCTGATTTATTATTTTTAATCAAATCAAATCAAATCAAATCTAAATTACCTATATTTAAGGAACTCTAAAATATTTAAATTAATAATTAATTTTCGAAATTAAATATAAATAATTATTAAAATTATTTTTAAACACTTAAAAAAATAAAATTATGAGTGTTTGGAAGCAAGTACTTCTGTTTTAATAGAATAGATTAAAATAATACTTTTTTATTTATAATACTCTGTATAAATTTTTCTCTTCACTAATTTAATGTCTTCAGTTTTTTAAGTAAATTTAATTGTTTTAAGTACAATTGGTCTTAGGATGAAAGACAGAGACGAGCTCTTCACTTTTTCCTGCTCGGTTTGAGAAGTCCTGGCACGTAAACGCAAGATGTTGCTCTCATCAACTTAGAGCATCATTGTTACCAACCGAGGGGCTTAGTGTAGTATAGTCGATATGTTAACAGAGTTGTTTAATCAAACTAATGGTGCCTTTTGGTTTTTTTCATAGCATAACTAATAATGTATATTTTTCATTATACAAACATAGTACATTTTTATTCAACCACATTACAAATCAAACAGATTCATTCTTCTTTTCTATGCAAATCGAGTTTTTTTTTTATTACAATCGAAGTGATTAACTAATATACTACACAAGCATTATTACTTCTGATAAGCGTATGAAGTCCTCATCATCATCTTCATAAACTCCTCCAAATTAACTTCTCCATCTTCTGCGTTTTTAAAGCAAAAAAAAATGGTGTTAAAAACGTAAATGCTAATGACTACTTTTGAGAACATGTATATGTTTTCACTTACTGTCACGATCAGCTTCTTCGATCATTTCTTCTATATCATTATCTGTAAAATTTTCTCCTAATTCCTTTGCAATTAGCTTGATATCGCGCTGTGAAATCTTTCCCTAAAATATTCCACAACTTGACAAGTCAAACACCATAAAATTACTCTAAAATAAAAAATTAGAAAATGATAAGTTTGGAATTAACATTGTTGTCTTGATCAATGATCTTAAATGCTTTAGTCAATTCCGCGGTAGAGTCTCGTTCTCCGAACTTAGTTGTCATCATATGCACAAATTCTTCGAAATCTATTGCTCCACTTTGGTTTTTATCCACCTCTGCCATCAATTCGTTTATTTGCTGCATGGCAATTACAACAAAATATATACATATAAATGGAGATCTCAGAAAAAAAAGAATAGTGTCTTCTCATTTTGGTTCGACATAAGTAACTAAGCCGAACCAGAAAACTGAAATCTTGAAAAAGTAAAACAAAACTAGGTGCAAAATGAACATAGCCAAACTAATAGTATCTCGGTTTGGTTATATATCTATCTAAACCGATAAATTTGAGCAGAACAAAAATTGATCACCCCCATAAAAATTAATTAAGAAAAAAAGAGAAGGGAAAAGTATATTTTCATGAAGAGCAAACCTCATTATTCATCTCAAACCCGAGAGACCTGTAAGCAGATGATACAATTCTTAGGGCTGACTAGAATTTGAAGAAATTAATTAAAAGAAGATACAAACGTGCCACTGACCTCATAGCAACGTTGAGCTCGCGAGGGTCGATGCTACCTACATATAAGATGATGGACTCAATTGGTGTGATTCTGACTTGAACCGGTTTCAACCGGATAATCAATCGGTTTGATAGTTACCTGAACCGTCTATGTCGAAGAGATCAAAGATTTCTCTGATCTCTCGTCTGTTCTGATTGGTCAATCCATAAGTCTTTCCTCTAGGTTTGAGACCTCTTCTGAGCTGTACTGCTTCGGACATGAAATTCGCCTGAACAAATAGGATGAACAGAGTAAGCAGAAGAATCCAAACAAATAGGCCTAAGTTTTTGTGTTTGAAAGATGAAAAAACCAAGGGATAATCTTAGACAAAGAAAACGCTAACCATTTCTTGTGCGGGAAGAAAAAGGAATATCTGATCAAACAAGATGATAAAATTAAGATGGTCTTCTTAATCTGGTTTTCGATGAGATGAAGATGACTAGATTAGTTGACGATGATCTGTCTCATTTTGTCTGATTATTAATCAACTCTTTTGAAAGCGATTAGCTTTAAGACTTTTAGTTTTCCACGTTTTTGTTCCTGCCACTATTTTTTTTTGTTAAATAAGGAAATATTGGCGCTAAAAACAAAATCTTCTTTAGTGTTTAAAATTCCTTCGATTCGGAAACTTGAACAAATATTTGACAAGTAAACGTATTTTACAATATAACATTTCTCGACACATAATGGATATCTAGATTATCTATATATAGTACAATGAAGATTAGCTAATCTATAATGACATGATCTACAGAACACCGAAAGCTTCTTTGATGGCGTGTACGACACGGGACGAAACTTCTTCTCCAAACATTCTCGGAAACTGTGAATCCAAATCTTCTTCTATGCTCTTCTTTCTGAAGCTTTTATCCCTTCTCTCCAACTCCAATTTCTCTTCTTCTCCCATCACTCTCTTCCCTTCTTGTTCTTCTTCCCTGACGCAATGCTCCAACCAAATCCCAAGAACTTCCTTAGCAGCTGGACTCACATGATCTCTTAATATCTCCTCCAACTTTTCCTCTTCCTCCACATCGATTTTGAGCATCGAAGCTGTAGGAGAGAAAGCAGAGCGGACAAAGAGAGAAGGCGAAACATAAGGTGTGATTTCAGGAAGCTTAAGGAGAGATTGACGATGAGAATCAAGAGCGGTGTCTTGGTAATATTCCTTGAGATAGTCCGGGTTAAGAACAAGGTCTTTCCGATGTGGGAGGTCGAGAATGAGAACAAGCGACGTGGGACTACTCTGTATGAGTTCGACCACAAAGTTTGGAGCTTTCGTTGAGGAGTTTAGGAATGCAGATATGCTTGTTATGTTGAGAGATACACCACTTGGGATCTTGCAATGTATCCAACTTCCTATAACAAAATCAATCTGAAGAAGAAATACCAAAATCAAGCCAATGATTCAATTTCAAACTATAAGCCAATGATTACATTTAAGCTACATTCAATCTCAATTCCGCAAAAGGGGTTTTTTAATTCTCCCATTCTAGAGTTACGTTTACATCAAAATTGAAGTCTGATTCTACTTAAATTACGCAATTAAAACTCTAAAACCAGCATGCAGAGCAAGTAAAATTCGATTTGAGATATGTAATTTTCTTAACCAAAGACGATTATCTCCGAAATCTCATTCCCTAAAACAGAGAAATGTGTACCGGAGAGGATTTCTCGCCGGATCTGATATGAAGAGATGCTTCGGCGGAACCGTTAGGGTTCTTGAAGTTCCGTACATCCGGCGGGAGGCTGCAGGGGAGGAGTTTCGAATGGAGGCGATCCTCCACCGTCGACATGAGATCAACCATTAGCTGCCTGCGCGTGGCCGACACATACGGAAACTCCATGAATTTTCGCCGGAGAAGATCGTCGTGATCCTCCATCGACTGGGATTGAGCTCGAACTCTGAGTCTCTTTGAGAATCGCGACGGTGTTGTTCGAGTCGAAGTTAACGGCGAGAGAGACGGAGAAGAAGAGAAGAGAGTGTTGCAAAATATCATCGCCATCTTTTTATGTGGCTAATTATGAGCCTTGTTTCTTTACAGAGTATTACACTATATACAATATAACTTCTATAAATTAATATTCGATAAATTAATACCTCGATAAATTAATATATTTTTTAATTTCTAAATTAATTTTTTGAACTAATTTTTATATCAATAAATTAATAATTCGATAAATTAATAAATATTGTAATCCCGACATTATTAATTTAAAAAAGTTTTACTATAACTTTTTTCTTTGAAATAAACTTTAGAATTGTTTACACCTTCTACAAAAAAAATGTAAAGTGTTCTAGTATATTTGCTGGTTCTAAGTTTCGAATTTATGCGCGTACGTGAAAACTATACAAAATATTTACATTTTAAATTGTTTTTTCAATGCTTGAGAGTTGGTATTTGGTAGTCATCTTCTCTACTCAATTAAGTGATATATGTAAGAGTCTTGGCAAGACTCATGAGCGACTTAATTAGGCATCAGCAAATATACTATCCGAATATCCAATTTGAACTAACGTAGAATATTTTAAAAAATTGATGAGAATTTATTATATTCTTCAAAACTTAGTTTATTAATGACTTGTTTGTTGTATAGCAAGTTGAAATATTTGTCTCTATATCAATAATTTTTTAAAAAAAATTATACTAGTATTTTTTAAGTTGTAGTTTTAGATGCAAATATAATTTTAAGATAACATGCATTAGGTCTAACAGTTGGGTATTTTTCCAATTTCATTTTCTTGACAATGTTGTTGTTTTTTTCTTAGGTTGTTGACTTTTCTAACAATATTAATGGAAATATTCCATGGATTACGTAAAAACACGGAAACCACCTAGTATTTGCTAAAGAAGTACTCTTTAAAAAATTCATTCTCTTCCTAGTTTCATGACATTGGGGTTTGAACTAAATCTAATCCCACGAGTTTACATTAGGAATCTTAAGAAATTGATTAAGTAGAAAACCCCAAGACTAACATTTGAAATTTCGACGTATGTCTTATTTTTTTGCACCTTAATACACTACTAAATTTTAATACATGAAAACTCTTATATTTGCCTTAATGGCTCATTTTAACATAAAAATATTTAAAAAAACTTTCCTTGCGGAAAATATTTAAAAATCATAAAATAAAAACATCAGCTTAATTTTTCATTCTTCGTTGATGACGTGTCACACGCTTTGTTTGAACAGTCTTTCTAGTAGCCCCCCCCCTTCTGTCTTTTTAGTTGCAGACTTTGCTGCTCTTCCACAACGGCGCGTGAAAGTCCACGTTCTTTATTTCCGTCATATGGGACCCACCCACCACGAAATTCTTCTCATCCCGGCCCCTCTTCTTTCTCTCTCCTTTCAACCACACCCCAAACAATTTCAATCCTTCACCTACCCCCTCCTCCTCCTCTGCTCCGCCGCAACCTTCGCAGTCACTTTCTTCGTCCGTCAAAGAAATCCGGGATGCGATCGGTTTAAATTTCCCTCCATTAATCATCTGATCGATCTGTTCCGGTTCAACTTTCAGATTCTCCGTCAAGAAAGCCACCAGCTCATCTCGCTGCCTCTTCGCCGCCGCGAGCTCCGAGCTCAAACTGTTGTTCTCCCGTTTCAGCTTCTCGTTCTCTCCGGAGAGATCAGCAACCATGTTCTCCACCGATCCCGGGTTCTTCGACCCGGGTGATGACGTGGAGCTTGATCCGTGATCATCACCCGCTGAATTCGACTCCGACGGCGAACCAACAACCGCAACACATTTTCCCGCCGCCGCGATCACCGATTTACGCCGCCGTATTTCCGTTAGCTGATCCTCTTGTCCTCTCCGGAAATTGTCGTTTGCGAATTCCCATTTGTCCGGAACAGTTTTCCGAAATCCCTACAGTTCAAAAACAAAAACCATTAATTTCCTCAGCTTCTAGAAGCTTTCCACCAACCCCTGAATTTTTATTTTTTTTGAAAATTTGCGAAATTGTCCCAACTACCGAGGAAAGATTCAATTCACCAAACGAATTAATTGAACAATAAATGAAATGAGAAGAAATTTCCATGAGAAATGATTTAGAAGAAGTTTCGTTGTCGTGAGACTCACGTAAGTGTTGAGCTGACGAATGAAGCTTGAGAAATTATTATGCTTGAAGTATTGAGGAAGAAGATCTTTTGCGAACTCAGCTGTTTTCCACACGACGAAAGCTGTTCCATCTTCGTTCCATGAAACGACGTCGTCTGTGCTAACATCATCCACTAGCTGATACGTCTTGCTCAGAAACGGCGCCGGAACAGATCTCTGTGCCGCCGTCACCGCCGTCATCATCGCCGGCGAATTTTTTATTTAGAAAAAAAAGAAAACTAAAGAAAACTGAAAAGTCCCACTAAAAATTATCAAGACAGGGAGAAAAAAATGGAAATTGAAAATCGAAGAAAGTTTTAGCAACTAAAGAGCAAGAGAGCGGTGAGGAATTCCCAATCCCAGCAATAGAAGCCAGAGAGGAAGACACGAGAACGGAGAAGATCGGAGTTTCTTTTGGTTTCTTCCATTTAAGGATGATGGAGGAGGAAGATGGAGACGACGACCATAATTCGCCGGAGCAAATCCGTGAGATTAATGAACTTAGTTAAGTGTTTTCTTATTAGAAGAAATGGGTCAATAATATTAACGCATGCTTTATAGATCCTAATGTGGGTCCTACCTTTGAAGGAAAATAGAGAAAAAACGGATGCTGGTTCTAGAAATTCTCAGAAACATCTTTTCTTTTTTCTCTTCTTTTCTATAGACTATTGGGACTCATTCAAAAAAGTCTCATCTTTTGAATTTTGTTTTCCTTTTTCTCACCCTTTATTACTATTATTATATTAACCCTTGAGTTAAAATTTTCTATCTAATTGATTATATTAAAAAAAAAGTTATTCGAAACTGTTAAATGAAAAAATATATTAAAAAATCCACATAACATACTTTTTATCACTAAACTTATGAGATAGCGAGATTATATCGAATACTTAAATATAAATCGCCGTTACGTGAAAATATGGACTAGGGCGCTTTTTTTTTTTTAAGGCTAGGTATATCTATATAAACCAAAATTATGCAAATTTTTATAAACTGTCAATCAAAGCTATTTTATTTTTTAAATAATCACGCACGCTCTGAAAGACAATTAAACATTGTTATTCTAGAAAGTTTATAATTTAACAATGAACAGATATGCAATGTTTTTTTCAAATATGACGGGAGACAACAAGATATTTTTACAATAAAAATGCGACTTTGTTTATCTGCTTGTGTCTATTATATTTCTTTTGAGTATTTTAATGCGTTCACCTAACACATTTCGGCTTCATTTCACATTTGGGTACCAATGAGCTTCGTTTGCCTTTTCTTTCCAATGTGGATCTTTAGACTAAAATATTTGGATAACATATTTTAACGTGTGAGTCGTGACAAATTCAAGTTCTTAAAAAACCATCGACATCTACGTCTTCATTCTTGGATTTATTTCCAACACATTTGGCTTTTATCCACTTTAAATCATTGATACCACGGCTAGATAATTGTATTCAGCAAAGACGGTAAATCTCACTTATGTAGATAATTGCATGGCTGATAAAAAAATCCGTTATAATGTTACTTACATAGATATTTGCATACTGGCGGCGAAAAATGGCAAGCACTTTCATAAACGTATTAAAAGCTGATTCTAGACATACAAATATTTTGGATCAAAAGAGGATTGTTTTTAGAAAAAAATGGCGATATATGTCGATGTTTCATGTACATCTTTATTTGGACCTTTTTTACCAAAAAAAAAATCTTTATTTGGACCTCAATCGTATCGTCTGAGTCTCGGTATTGGATTGCTCAACTTATTACCAAAAAAAAGGTATAGGTAATCATTTTATTTACGTAGTACATCATCGTTCCATTTCCATTTTTATTCATTTTAATTAAAAATTATTCATGATTAAACGTAGTTTTGCAACTGATGAAAAGCTTCTGCCATGAAAACAACTAGTGATTCAGGAGGTCCTCAGAATTTTAACCAACTTTCATAGGTCTTCTATGGAAATTTCAACTTATTTCTAGATTTTGGTAAACATGGGAAAAAAATGACCACTTGGGCAAACCAACTGAAATCAGGGCTAGTGCTTATATTAATTATATAGAAAAACAGTTAAAGAAAATTCAAATTACAGCGAGAACTATTGACACGTGTGCAGAAACATCGATATGGAAACGTAGCTCTTTTATTTTCCACGAATCTTTTTGATGGAACTTGAAAGATGAGTCTGGACCGTCTGGTTATTGTATAATTGTGTTTGCTGAGAATTAGAATGTTTGAGTTCCACTATTTCCATCATAACTTTTGTACTCTGCTTTTTTCATATTCTCATCTTAACTTTTGAGTCGACAAAAACTGTTCATGATCGCATTCAAAAAATGCAAAAATAAGCATAACATTATAAATAAGTTTTATGTTGTCAAAAAAGAAATACGAATCATCAATAATACTTGTAGAGATCATATCAGCAAATTCGTTTTGGGTTATAATAACATCAAATGCAGATATACATGGAATTAAATCCTATAGTAGATCAACCATTGGATCTATCCATATCCAAATAATATTCAAGTCAAATTAGGCCACCCGTTGAGGATAAATTTGTTATGCTTCTTTCCAAAGTTCTGATCGTTCTATTTTGAATAAATGGTAAAGAGTTAGTTGCTGTCTTGCTGATTATGACGGAGTGTTTCAATTCCAGAATGTTTGCAAATGGTTTTGTAGAATTCGAGTATATAAATATCCTTAAACTGCATCTCTTGCATTTCTCTTTGATCTCTAACACGTTTTAAATGCTATAACACGGTGAAAGCTTAGACGTCCCACATAGATCAATGTTTTGTATTCATACAATTAACCATTATGCCATGTACTATCCGGTTTCCTTGTTTCTCACTTACATTACACTTCATTATGCACTTTTCATATGGGGATCAGTTCATGTGAGCACTAGTTTGTTCTTTATTGTCCTGATACTCAGTTGACTTAAATCATGTTTTGCCATATCTTCAATAAAACCTACGAGAATCATATTTTGCATATTAATCCAAAATAACATTTAATTTGAAACAAAAAAAAAAACTTTAAAATGACATTTAATTTCAAAGGATAAAACTAATTCGATTAAAAAAACTTATAACATGTTGAGCTTATAACATCAAATAAAGTGGTCCAAATATATGGGATATAAAATGCAATCTGATCTTTATGATGAAGTTCTATAATGTAATTATTATGTATGCCATATGTTACCATCATACGTTGCTACTACTCTCACCTCAAACAAAAGTTATCCATCACAGGTTCCAGAATTTTGTTGGGCACCACCATTGATTTATTTTTCTTCCAGTGTATTGAGGTGATATCGTAATATAAAAATCATTGAAAGCCGAAAAAAATTATGAATGAAGTGATTATGTAATACTTAAAGAAGAAAAAGACGTTAGTTCGTGACACCACTCTTTCAAGTTTCAACAACCGATTAAGCAAAATTCCAATTCTCTCTTAAAAACTTGAAAGCTTTTTTTCAACCCACATCAACTTGGGTTTTTTCTTAAAAAGCTTTTAAAAGTCCCTTAAAATATTCTAGAAACCTCTGCAAGAGCTAGAAGGTTCCATTTAACGCTGATCTATTTTCCTCCTCGGCATCGTACGGTTCATATTGTTGTCAACTAGTTAATCGGAAATAAAGAACTATCGCCAACATTCGCCTGAGAAATTTTCCCAATCGGAGAGTTAATTAGGGTTTCTGAGCTTCTTCAGACAAAGAAGAAATTCCGTGAGATAAAGATGTGGCACGAAGCAAGAAGATCGGAGAAGAAGGTGCACGATATGATGGACGCCGCTCGGAAAAGAGCGCAGCGGCGAGCTATCTACTTAGCTAAACGCCGTGGAGATCCAATTCAGTCGATCCAAGCCGTTGGATCTCGCTACCGAATCTTCCGTGATGATGGTCTTTACCAAGCCACCGAGGATCAACAGGGCCTGTAATAATGATACCTAATCGGATTCTCTTTCTTCGAATGTTTTTTTTTTTCGATTCAGCTTGATTGCGTATCGATGATGAACGAAATTTTGTATCAGGATACCATGGAATGGGAAGCAGGATGTTATGATTGATAGGTAATTAACAATTTTGTTAGGGTTTATCGATCTCAGTCGATTTGCATGCTTGTTCTGGAAATTGTTTGTTCATTGACTAGTTCTACTTGTAGATTTGACGGTCGTGCTCTTCTGGATTTTGTGCGTGAGGCTGGTTCGAGAAGCATACGGCCACATAAGAAGTCGGAAGAGGAGGAAGAAGTTGAAGAGTTTGTGAATTTTGAGCGTTATCGGGATTTAATTAAGCATCGGCGTAGAGGATGTCGGTACCTTTTTCCACATTCCGATCAATTTTGTTTCTTGTTTGTTTTTCGATCATATATATTACGGAAAAAGACAATTCAAGGAAAATCCGTGTTCGAGAATCAAAATCTGAGTGAAATTGAGATAAGAGTCCATGGGATAATGCTTCATACTGTGAACAGTTTCTGATGAGGAGGGTTTGCTACATGTCAATCAAGAGCTCGAGGCCAAACTTGCTGCACCCTTCCTAGGGACAAGGTACATTTCCACCTTACTCTTGTGAAAGCTCATTTGTCTTAATCTTCTCAGTCTTTGTTGTAATCACCATTAATCTTCTAGTTTATATAAAAAAAACTTCTTTTGTTCTGTTTTTGGTGTTACTCTGTAGACCACAACCAGCTCAACCACCTGCAAACAAAGGCACATATTCACAGGTTGGGTTTTCATATGCTGGGAACGGAAAAGAGGAATCGTTGGATGCGGACGAAGATGATGATGACGACGAGGATGATGAGGATGAGGAGGAAGAATTTGACAGTAATGACAGCGATGATGAAGGAATGGAAAAAATTGCTAAACAGTTTGGCGTGAAACGATATGGATGGCTCGTTTATATGGACAAGAAGGCAAAAGAGGAAGAGAGAAGGCAAAAGGAACTTATCAAAGGCGATCCTTCAATTGTAAGTTGCTCGTTTTACCCATGAAGGTTATGTCTTCTTTTCTTGTTTTTGCTTGTCTACTAATGAATGTGAATGAATCAAAATTCGTGAATGTAGAAGAAGCTAAGTCGCAAGGAAAGAAGAAAGGTCTCTAGGATAGAGAGGGATAGAGAAAGAGAATCTTCAAGGAGTATTAGAAGGCGTCATGATCCCTACAGGTGAGATAGTGTAAGACATAAGAAAAGGAAAAGTCAGTGGATTTTCAACTCACTGAAATGATGCTTCTTAATGCATAGGGAGTCTCGGAGGAGTCCTACTTATGAGGCTTATCCACGTTCAAGAAGGTTTTTCTCTTATTAACTTTTTAAAATATGCCATACCATCTATGGAATCATTGGGAAAGTGATTGCTTATCTCTCTTCTTACTCGTTTTCACAGATCACGATCCAGATCCCGGTCATATTCTCCGTCATACTCAAGGCGGAATGGTCGTAGAGACCACTCTGATGAGATCAGCAAACCAAAAATCGAATATATTACAGAATTTGGAGGCTCTGGAGATGTAGCAAGTCCAAAGTTTGAAGGATATTCCCCACCGCGTTCACCACCATCTCACACTGACCTCTTAACCCGGTCGGAGCACTCAACCTCTAGTTCTTGCAAAGATAGCCACTTACTCACCACTTGTTGGTTGAGGAAACCTTTTTTGTTTGTAGAATAAATTGGCACTAGATTGATTATCTGTGACAACAAGGGAGATATAGAAGCTTGATTTCTGGAACCCGTTTAAACTGGAATGAAGTTTGCATATTATAATCGATGGAGTAGGAAATTATAATAATTTATTTCCCTGCAGACCATCTTCAGGACATATTCTTGAGGCGCTGCATGTTGATCCTGCATCTGGTGTATCGCTTGAGAAAGACAAGATTGTTAAACCAGCTAAACCGGCAGTGAGGTAGGGTCGTGATTACATATCTGAAGTTTATTTTGGTGTTAGCTGTATCTTCCAGTGAGCTTTTGTGGTCATGAATTAGGAACCTTAATTCCCTTTTCCACTTTGCAGTACTACTACAGCACTAGCGAAGCTTTCAAAACCAGGTACTTCCTCAGGTGGATCTTCAAAACAGACACAAGCGGAGAAGAAAGAAACACCCCAAGAACGACTGAAGAGAATCATGAACAAACAGCTAACAAAACAGAGTACGATCTTAAATTTGCTCTTTTGATCTCTGCAATTAAGTGTAATCGCATTTACTATTAGAAACTGAGATTTTGGATGTATCATATTGTACAGTTAAGAAAGACTCTGCAACAGAGACTGCTAAAAAGCGAGAACAGGAGAGGCAAAGGCTGGAAAAACTAGCCGAAACAAGCCGGTTAAGTCGGAATAGACACAGAGACGAGCCTGAACATAGGCTCATGAAGCGGAGCCGATAAGTTCAAAAAGTTGTTAGGTGTCAATTTGTGAATCGTCGAAACCTTTTTTTTTTTTTAACATCTGGTTCTAAAGTTCGAGTCTATGAAGCTATGTTAAATTAAATTTATTACTTGCTACTTGTTTTTCATGGTTGGCTTTGTTTTGTTAGGAAAATCAGTGCTATAGATTAAATAACAAGGACTGTATTGTGTCGTCTGCCATGCGTTTCATTGTGTGTGAAAGTGTTTTTTTTTATAGACAGAACGTGATAACACGTCCGTTCTAATTTAAACCTTTTATAATATTTTTAAACTCCATCAGTTATCCACAATATTTATGAGAATTTTTCAGCTCTTTGGAATTGTTGTAAAGTACAAAAAGATACAAGGTTTTTTTTGTTAAGAAAGAAATGTTATAGAGCGATTTACATACATAGTCATACCTACATTTAGAAAGTAATTATGGTTGGTCCCTCTAGACAACTTGCTTTAAGTACCAGATTATTCTCAAAAAAAATTATAACCTCCATATTCTTCTACTACGAGTCTACGACCATTTACCGTTTCACTCGATTTTAAAGTAAGAGTACTGTTAAGTTTCTTGGGCTTCCAACTTAAAACCAATTAGCAATAAGTGGAGAGGCCCAAGTCTCTTATATACTAGTGTTAGTCTTTTTAATTTTTCAATGTGGGATTCTAACACGTTCCCTCGAGATGATGGCTCTTATCAGCCCATCTCGAACCGAATCTTACTTTAAAACCGATAATAAACCCTTTTTGAGTTACCTTTATTAGGTCAACAAACAAGGCTTTGATACCATGTTAAGTTTCATGGGCTTCCAACTTAAAACCAATTGATTTTAAGTTGGAAGCCCAGGAAACTTAACAAGTATCCGTAACGCATAGCTAAGCGAAAGGGAGAAGAAAAGAACAACTGTTTTCCAACATTAATGAATCCCGTATTGCTTTTTTAAAAATAAAAAAAAAATTCACTTGAATAATATAATATAGTAGTTTAGCGGGAAAAACACTAACAACGATTTTTCCAACATTAAATGAATCACGTATTACTTCTTGAATAATAATCACTTGCCAGGAAAATTACAAGATATTATAAAGTTAATTCTAGTACTTTAACAGAATTTCCTCCATGTGATGCTACTCATGCTTTCCCTTGGCTTATTTTTTTGTTCCATGCTACGGCATGTTTGTAGGTTTAATTTACGCTATCTTGTTGTGGCTTCAGCTTTGATGAGGGGTTTAGTACTGCCTAATATTTGATCGATCAGTAGGATGATTTTGTACATGTAACCCAAATCATGATATATATAACCAGATGACAAAAAAAAAACAGAATATTCTTTAGCTATTTATTTATATAGTTTCAACAATAGCCTAAATAAATTGCAATACTTTTTTGACTATTTATATTTAGTTTATCACAGAATTGTGTTTTATAAATCTGTGAATGGCAAATGATTAGTTGGATCACAGTTTGAGAACACAAAAAACGTGATGTTAGTTGAGAACTCGCATTCTTTATTGTCTTTACATATATAATAGACGTGCTAATAGCTGAAAACTCTATTAGTCTGATCTCTCTAGGTATCCATTTCTGTGATAAATAGATAAGAACGATTTGAATGAAGGAGAAGAAAAATCAACGTTGAATGTGGTAGGAGCGGAGCCACTGTTTTTCCTGCGCCAATATGATACATGTGGGTTTAATAATTGGACACATTTTCAGATTTTTTGTTTCTCAAGTATCATTATTTATTGATATTATTATAAATGGTTTGTTCAAAAGATGAATGCTACATTAAATGACAACGAGACTAGTGTGTCTTGTCGTCTGCGTGTGTGCGCGCTTGACCATCCCTCTGCGTTAAAGACATAACTTGATAATAGCTCGGTATTATTTTACTAACGCTTTGAAATTTCGTAACTTCACTAGTAATTCACCATTTGATGAATTCTTTGGGATTACGAGTATTTAAAGCCGAAAGTAATGTTCTTTTAAAAAAGTCAATTTAGAATTTCAATGCAAACTAAAAAAACAAGAATGCATTCGTTAAGGATATGAATGTTTATCAAAATGATGACGAATAAAGTATGTTGTTATATACCAGTACATGCGAAATGTCTTCAGAGGTCTATATATATACATAGAAATATTGAAATATCTAAACGTGCTCAGTTCGAACAGCTTAAACTATTGAAATGCTTGTTACAAAAAAAAACTTAAAAACTGCTAGCTTTGCAAACAATTAACTTGTTAAACATCCGATTTAGTTTCTATAAGGAAAAACTGGACAGTAATGCAAAATTTACAGATTACATGCAATGACTCCGACTAATAAAAACGTGAAGCGGCAGAACTGAAAAAAAAGAGGAAAGATTATTACTCTTTAAACACAGTAGAAATTAAAAAAACGTTAGAATTATGCAGAATAAAAAAAATGATCGGAAACTAGTCCAAAAACGAAGAGATATGATATGACGAAACGAAACCGAATTCTACACAATTATTCGATTAAAAGTTTTTTAAAAATCACGGAGTTAATTCACTATCTATGCTCTATCTACCAATTAGAAATAAAAGCAGTATCGTTATTGAGTGCAAGTTTTAGGGTCTACGATCCTGCTTTTTAGGTCTGCAGGAGCTAACAGTTACAAATCTATCTGTATAAGAGACAGGAAAAAAAATGTTGACTGTAAAAATAACGTCAAAGTTAAAAAAAAAAACAAGCGGGAAGCTAAATTAACAGAAACGACAAAAGAGTCTGAAATTTATCGAAAGAACAAAAGGAGCAGAAAAGTCACATGGGAAGAGTTGTGGCTTTGTATAACGGTACAGAGGATCGAAGAAGAAGATAATATAACGGCAGTTAAATCTGTCCAAATCTGTAACTCTTTTTTCTCCATAAATGTTTTTTTTTTCCCTCAATTTCATAAACAATAACAAATTAACACAAACGGTGTAAGAAGAAATGGGTAAATTGAATTATCCCAAAAGAAGTCAGTTTCAAATTGATTTAATGTCTTGAGATTTCTTGGTTTTTCTATATTTTTGTTGGTTGGGTATATGATCGGACCAGCCACGACACTTGTCTTAATGCCAACAAAAAAATTTCTCTCTCATCTCTCTTCTCTCTATTATCTCTCTCTCTCTCTCTCTTCAAGTTCTCACCTTTTGAGATTACAAAGAACACAAAAGTACCTTTCTTTATTCTCTCTTTTCAGTTTACATCACACTCTATTAAACACTCTTCAATCTCCGGTCAACAAAAGTATGATTTCAATTTCTTAGCAAGTTTCAGTTTTTTTCTCCCTCCATCTTTGAATCTGAGACTTTTGTTTTTCCATCTGGATTAATCGGAGGAAAAAAAATGAGAAAGACGTCTGCTTCTTCCAATAGCTTTGGTGGGTTTTTGAGTCCCGGAGCTCCGAGTTACAGCGATAACAAAGGATGGAGCTCCGAGAGAGTTCCTCATCCTTCGTCTTCTACTTCCACCGCCGCAATTAACGGCGGTCGTCGTCACATCGGCTCCGCCTCCGCTTTAGCGACGCCGTTTTACAGCGGCAGAGCCATACCTTCGAAATGGGAAGATGCTGAACGATGGATTTGTAGCCCCGTGGCGGCATACCCACCAGGTGTTTGTAAAAATCCCTCAGTGAGCTCTCACTTCTCCGAGCAGAGGCGGCAGAAATCCAAAAGCGGTCCGATTGTTCCTCCTACGCTGCCGCATCCTCCGACGTCTTCTTCGTCGGCGATTGGGTGTTATCACTATTCTCCGAGGATGACGATGCGGGCCATGGAAGCTCCTCAAGGGAATATGAAGAGTTTAATGGTGGTTGGTTCGCCGTTCTCCACCGGAGTTTTGGAGGCTGATAGGGTATTTAGAGGGAGTGTTGGTGGTGGTTGTGATGGCTATCGACGTGGCCATGGACATAGCCGGAGCTGGGCTGATTTGATGAGTGAAGAAACTTCATCACTTGGTTCCAAAACTGATACAGGTCACAACATTCTCTCTCTATCTCTTTTGCCGATGCAACGAATCTGAAATTAGAACTCTTTGAATCTTCAATCTTGCATCAGAAATTGCAAAAGACACTCACTTTAGGAAATCCAATATTGGAAAGACCAAGTTTGAGCTTGATTCTTGTGGAACTATGGTCAAGATCTAAGCTTTGTTGATTCTGAAAATTGTGCAGAGGAGAAAGCAGAGGACACAAAGGAAGGAGAGATGACGACGGCGGCGCAATCTCCGGTGGTTTCAAGAAGAGATATAGCTACTCAGATGAGCCCAGAAGAGATGAGTCCTAATAATGACCACCAGTCTCCTCGAGAGCTTAACTGTTCATCTCCACCGTTGGTTGTTTCTGTTATTGAGCCTCCTCCGCGGGAAAATCCTTGTAGAGGTGAAGTGAGAGAAGTGAAAATGGATAAAGGAGCAAAGATGATTAAGCGTCCGAAGAGACGAGTAATGTCTTCTGCTAGGGTTATCAGGAGAGAGCAACCTGAGGTTGAAGACAACTCTGAAGCTTCTGCTTCTTCTTCTTCTTGGGATATCTCAGAACCAGCCATGACTCTTTCAAAGTAATCAAACAGAGAGTTTTTTACGACTGTTTCTTCTTGGTCAGCTATTAGTAATGTTCTTTTTTGGTGTAAATATATTTTGCAGGTTGCAAAGAGAGGAAGCGAAGATAGCAGCTTGGGAAAATCTGCAGAAGGCGAAAGCAGAAGCCGCCATTAGAAAGCTTGAGGTCCTCCTTTACACTTATATAAGCGCTCTTCACAAACAGATTATTAGCAGTTATATTGATATTTCTTTGGGTTGAATCACAGGTGAAGCTGGAGAAGAAGAAATCAGCATCAATGGATAAGATCTTGAACAAGCTTCAAACAGCTAAGTTGAAAGCACAAGAGATGAGGAGAAGTTCAGTATCCAGTGACCATCAACAAGAACAACAGGGGAATCATCAAATCTCCAGAAATTCGGTGAAGATCACTCATCTTGTCCGAAGACATACTTTCATGACCCCTTTCATGACTTGCTTCGCTCCTCGTGTTGATTGCAGAAAATCTTCATCTGCTCTCTAGATTATTTTTTATTTTGTTTGTGAAAGACAAATTTGAACAAAAGAAAACAAATATGTACACTGCGACTTTTCTTGTAAAGCTTTATCTGTTCCAATTTTCACTTCTCTGCATAATACCATCACAAACCAGTTTAACTTGTTCCCAAGTAAAAGCATAAAAGCTTCAATACAATTGATCCTGAGAAATTTTGAAACATATATCTGACACAAGTCGAGTTTATATGAATGACCAAGCCAAAGCCAAAGCTAATGAGAAGTTCGTCTGGTGCATTAGTATGGCCGGTACCTCCAGTCTGATCTTGATGGTCTTGCATTCGGCATTCCATATCCCCACTAGCAAGATTTAGTTTGAAACCGAAATGAATCAGAATCAAGTTGTATATAAAGGGTTCTTTGATTAGTGTTTCCGGTTAAATAGTAATATACTCACATCGTCCAAACTCATGCCTCCATACATCCGACCAAAAGAGCGCACTGGACCTCCATAGCCACCAAAATATTCAGGACGAGAAGAACTTAACATGGAATTTCCACCGGCGCTAGGTCCAGCTTCATCAAGCGGTGTTGCTGAATCTATTGCTACCTAACCCAAATATCAAAACAATGTAGTTCTTTCAAACATCTTAAAAGATTCTTGTACTAAGCCTATTTACGCAAAATTCTCAAGTATAAAGCTTTTTACCTCTTGTCCACAGATTTCATGAGATCTCCGGGCTACACGATCTGCAACACCATTTTCAGCAAAGGTAACGAATCCGAAACCTCTATGTCCACTTCTCTTTGGGTCCTATAAAAAAAAAGATGAATGTTAAAATATGTTCACAAACGTTTTCTATGATTGTTCTCACTGTAACTTATAACCCACCTTTGGAATATATGCATCCTGAATACGGCCAAATCTCCCAAAATAATCGCGAAGATCATCAACGGATGCTTCTTGAGGAAGCCGTCCAACAAAGATCTTATTTCCTATTCCCCTCGCTGGTTCCCCTCCTAAGTCAAAAGTGAAGATTCCCTTATAGTAATTTGAAAATTCTTCTGTGTCTAATTAGTATTCTGGTATTATATAACGAGTCTCTTACTTCCATAAAATGAGGCCGGATTATCATACAGAGTAGGAGCACCAAGAGCTGCGTATCTTGTAGCAGCAGAAATGTAAGCATCATAAGCTCCATAACCACCTGGAGCTCCAAATCCTCCTGGAACAGCCACAGGTGGGCGCGGCATTCTAGCCGCTGGTGGTGGCCTCGGAGGATGATGATCATCCTCCTTTGGTGTCGCTCGATCAACAGCAACCGTTGAACCTCCCAGATCATGAGTGTCTTCCATCAGCTCCTCCACTGAATCTGAAAAAAAAAAAAAAAAGAGAAAGGTTTCTTCTGCATTTAAACAAGATTTCCAAACATGTAAAGATGAACTACAACTGTAACAGGTAAAGACAAAGGAGATTTAAGCTAAAAACTGACCAGCACTAGCGAATGTTATAAACCCAATTCCTCGGTGTTGCTTCGAGTTGTGGTCCTAAAATAGAAAATGGGGAAATGGTATCACTACACAATAATCCAGGAGGCGCTAAGCATAGCCAAATCTGACCACAAACTCTTAGAAGTGTTGTATATTATCAGACATACAGTTAAGATAATGATAGATTACCTTAGGCATGTATAAGTCTGTTATCTCCCCGTACCTCTCAAAATGGCTGCATAAGAGAAGTTAAGGAATGCTTATATTTCCCAAAGCTAGTAGAAACCAACCATTCTCAAAAATAAAAACAGACTAAAGCAAATTGGATTACCTTCGGAAATCTGATTCAGAGACTGATGGAGGGATTCGAGCAACAAAGATCCTTGTCACCTTTTTTGCAGGCTGTCTCATCTCTTCCTGGCACAATAACATAACCTTCTTGAGCAAAGATGATCGGAGAAAACTAATTTTATTATGAGATTCCCAAAATCCTTGAAACCAACCTTTGGTGTAGCCACTTTTACTTCCAAGATTCTGTTCCCCAAAAAGTGTTCACCTTTCAAAGCGTTCTACAAGTAGTAAGAAAGAAAATTAAACAAACAGTAAGACAGATTTGTGAATCGAAAAAGCATCCACCAAGTAATGTTTTTACCTTTGCATCTTCAGCTGAAGCAAAAGTCACATATCCAAATCCACGAGATCTTCCAGTTGATCGATCCTAAACATAAAAAAAAAAAAAAATCTTCAGAAGCTATTCCTGACATTTTCAATGCTCAAAGTCGAAATTAGAAGATAAAACTTATAAAGACTAAAATGCAAACCTTCATGACAATACAATCCTCCAAGTCTCCAAATTTCGACATGTAATCCTTAAGCCCATCGGAATCAATATCCCACGGGATACCCAAAACCTAGATAATCAATTAAATTACAAAACAAAAATCAAAAATTTATGGAAATGAGGCCGAGACGAAGAAGAAAATGTAAAACAAAATTTGCGAAAAAACACAAAATACCACAAGCTTCCGTTCCATGAGATGAGCAAACAAATGTGTAGATCTGGAGAGGAATCGAAACCCTAACAACACTCTCAGGAAACCTCTCGTCTCTCTCTATCTCTCTTCTCTCCCTCTTAAGTTAAATCTCTCACACTCGTCTCTTCGACTCTTGCTCCTGCAAACCACAAGAAGCACATCTCTTTCTCACACACAAATATCATCAAACACCAAATCATCATTTTCTGGGCACACGGAATCTCTCCGATAAGAAACAAAAGAAACTTTAAAATACCCTAAGATTCATTCATTGCCACAAACCAGGAATTCGAACGAGACTCACACACACACACTGACCTTTTGAAATCTCTCTCGCTCTATCTCTCTCCCAAGGAGTTGTCGATTAGAGCCCTAAAAACCTTCCAGAGTCCAGACCCTTTTTGTCTGGATTTCGTATCGAAATGGTCTGCCAACTGAAACGAAAGGGCTCTAATTAGATGGGACTATTCCGGCGATAAAACGTTCACCGTCCATTGCAGCTCCACGATTGGTGACACGTGTTTTTCCCAACATTTCAATTTTTTTTTTTCCATTTTATTGCTAGTAGTAGTAAACAGAGAAACGAGAACTAAACTTAACTACATACAACAGCTATGCAATTTCTCAGTCCATGAAAAAAGAGAAACTTGCTTCACCTCCACATTGATTATATATATATATATATATATATATGTGCAAAACCGACTTTCATTCAAACCTTGTTTGTTTTGTTACCCGCACTATATTCAGAATAGCTTATAATCAGAAACTATAAGACTTGACAAGAACGGTTATGATTTGCAACCTAATTATGCGTAAATCCGAGCAAAAAGACTGCGACTTGGAAATTCCAGGGCACATAGAGTGAGAGGTACCTGATAGGAGAAGCTTCATGAGAGCTACAGGGCACGGCTCGCATTTCACAGATGAAGTACGAACCTATATATTGAGACATGGAGAATCAAATGAGTCGGGAAATTTCAGAAAGAAACCAACTGTAATCACAAACCCCAAACTCGAAACGAAATCAATTGAGACATGAAAAAGGCGAAAGCAAACCTAACGAAATTTGCTGAGTTCCCACTTCACTTTAGACTTGTACCGCTGCTACTTGCCTCCATATCATGCTTCCATTGCTTTACCATTTCACCAAGAGATGTCTTAAAACCCATTTCGTCCTCTTCGATTTCAATGGCGGGTTTCCACTGCTGAATGAGTGATCCAAGGACAGTGACAGCATTAGTCATGTCCGGTCTTTGCTCTGGTTCCTTTGCGCAGCAGTGAATCGCAAGTTCAGCTACATCCTCGATGTTCTTTCGCGTCTCTTCCTCAACCTCTATTGTCTCATCAATAACGTTTGCAAAAGAGTCTTTCTCTCTGAACGACTTCCTGAACCAAATCACAATATGGGTCTCACCTTCCGATCTTGTCTCGTCTATAGCTTCTTGGCCGGTTATCAGATTCATCAAAATGACTCCAAAGCTAAAGACGTCCACCTTTGTCGTAATCCTACCAGTCACTGCAAATTACAAGAGTTTTTTTAGTCGTTATAGTTACAAAGTAAAATGATGATCAGATATATATATATATATATAGATAGAGATATTTGACAAAGGAAATGCGTGAGAAAGCCATACTTGGATATTCAGGTGCGATGTAACCGTATGTTCCAACACACTTGGTCCTGATGGATTCTCTGCCTTCTTCTGTAGAACACACTTGGCCCGCATATCTTCTCCCAGAAGAACGTTTGAGGGTTTTAGGTCTCTGTGAATGTAGCTCTGATTCTGACGAGCCAACGTATGCAGATATTCGACTCCTCTAGCCACATCTAAAGCAACAAGTAGACGTCTGCTCCAATCAAGTGGTCTCAATCCTTCCTTTCTCCAGTCAAATAAATGTCTGTTTAGTGTACCTTGTCGCATATACTGGTAGACCAACAGCCTCTCTTGTCCCTCAAGACAATACCCATGCAAAACCACTAAGTTACGGTGATGTACTCTGGTAAGAACGGTAACCTCAGATCTGAACTCATCAATGCCTTTTCCTCGTATAAAAGACTGAGACATCCTTTTAACTGCAACTTCGATTCCATCAAGAAGTTTACCCTTATACACTTCTCCAAAACCGCCTCTCCCAACAATGTTGCTATCGCGAAAATCATCTGTAGCATCCCTTAGAATCTGCATTGGAATGGCTTTGTTATCACTTTCCACAATCTCGTTGAGCTCAGAAGACTCCTGAGTATGTGGCAACCCTTCATTCGACTCTGACTGCCTATTAGATCGCCTCATTCTCACAAACAAATAGAACGCAATGCATCCTCCTCCAATAAGCAGCAAACCGACAACCACAATACCAATGAAACGACTGCACTTTTCTTGTTACTTGTGTGTGAAGTAACCTGAACGCTGTTCGTCTCAAGCAATGGATTCCCTTCAATGTGTGGAACTATTCAGATCAAGGCTCGTCAGGTTCATCTTCGTGAGTTCAACGGGAATGGTGCCACTAATAAGTTGTGCGACAGATCAATCACGGATAAAGACGTGAGATCCGCAAACCTGGGAGAGATACTGCCCGTCAGGTTCATCCCGATGAAGGCGATCGCTCTGACTCGCCCCTTTAAACATTCTACTCCATACCAATCTTGACACGGATCGTTCCCTTTAAAGCTCTCTGCAAATACAGGCGGGTAGCTAAAGTCTCCAATAACTGAAAGGAGAGCAGACTTGTCTCTGTTGCTACATCGATTCAGACGTGCCTTCACCACTGACACAAAGCAGAGCCAATACACCAAAAATAACAAACTTCTCATCTTCGCTACAAACCCCGAACGATTGCTCTGTAATTCAAGCTTCTCTTTACGGACCTCCTATTTCTTTGTCTTGAGGTATCTGAGATCACAAAACAGAAATGTTTCTTCTGAATCCAAACAATTTTTCAAATAGGTTAAAGTTGAACTGACACTGTAATAGTATCTAGACCGCATTCATCAGTTTCTAATTTTCCTTTCTCATGAGTTTGATGATTAAACGAAGGTTCTGTCATCAAAAAATGTAAAATCCAATAGTGAAGGAGATTTAAGGTAAAAGACTGACCAGACTCCTTGGTGTTGTTTCGAGTTGTAGAGGTAACAACAGAATTGCGCCAGTCGAGAGGTAAACAGAGGACGAGGCTCTTTCTCCACACAAGGCAGAGGCTTGCCTCAACAATTTGGACAAGCTTCAATCTCCACCGACTAAACCCAAAACTTTTCAATCAAGGAAGAGACAGATTCGTTGCCGGAGAAAGTTTCGTTGCCCGAGAAATTTGTTTTGCAGATTAGCAAGATCAAAGAGTTTTGTTGCCGGATAAAATTTCGTTGCCGGAGAAATTTGTTTTGCAGATTAGCGAGATCAAAGAGTTTCGTTGCCGGAGAAATTTTCGTTGCCGGAGAAAGTTTCGTTACCGGAGAAATTTGTTTTGCAGATTAGCGAGATCAAAGAGTTTCGTTGCCGGAGAAATTTTCGTTGCCGGAGAAAGTTTCGTCGCCGGAGAAATTTGTTTTGCAGATTAGCGAGATCAAAGAGTTTCTTTGGCGGAGAAATTTGTTTTGCAGATTAGCAAGATCAAAGAGTTTCGTTGCCGGATAAAATTTCGTTGCCGGAGAAATTTGGTTTGCAGATTAGCAAGATCAAAGCTAAGAGGAAGATAACAGAGATACAACGAAGAGTTATATCTCCGCCGTGAAAGAAGAGAAAGTTTGGTTGCCGGAGAAATTTGTTTTGCAGATTAGCAAGATCAAAGAGTTTTGAGAAAGTTTCGTTGCCGGAGAAATTTGTTTTGCAGATTAGCAAGATCAAAGCTAAGAAGAAGATAACAGAGATACGACGAAGAGTTATATCTCCGCCGTGAAAGAAGAGAAAGTTTCGTTGCCGGAGAAATCGATCACTTTGTTAGATACTAATTGCTAATCTGCAGATGAATTACATTTACTAGCAGTCTCCCCAAATGAATTACATTTAGTAGCAGTCAAGTATTTCTATTCTCAGTCCATTTTTTCTCTTTGTTTAAAAAATGAAAAAGCAAAATATGATTCTGGAAATGGTAAACAGATTTTTTTTAAATCTCTCTTTTCATTTTCACTCCACCAACTAGTGGGCAAACGGACATTTGAATTAAATAGGGTTTAGGATCAAGAATCTAAGAGAAACAGAGAGTTGCAGATGAGTGCGTTGGAGAGTCGCTAGAGAAGAAGATGAAGATGAAGATGAAGCGGACTAGGAGGGAAAAAAAATTATTAAAAAAAAAAATACAATGTTTTAAAAGAACTGGGTATCGAACCTCGGCAAAATTTATCAAAACAGGAAATAAACCACCTCACCAAATAAATTGCCGGTTCGGGGATTATAACTCGCAAACCAATCGGTTTACATAGGGACTTGGTTTTATTTTAATACTTGGGCCAAGAGGGCTTGTTGTGAGGGCCCATCATCTTTGATTTCTGCTTGTGGGCTTCGTTTGTTATTACTGGCCCATTTTTCAGAGACTCCAGTTACTTTGAAACGCTTGTAAACTAATTAAATTCATAGATTTGCTTCGGAGTTACTATTGCTCAATGGTCAGACGCTTCTACAACTTTGACATTGACTTGGTTGCTTTTTTTCGATATATTTTTCTCTTTTCGTAGAATTTTGCAAAAATATGTTATTTACTTCGGATTACTATTAGTAAATTCTCATTTATAGTGTAAAAAAAAATTACTTTCAAGTTTCTTGTTCAGTTTATATTTTTTCTTTTTAGAATATTCTTTTTTAGTCTGGTTCTCATAATTATTTTTTGTTTGACGGGATCGTTAATTTGTCATATATGGCAACAGAAAAGAATTACGGTATGTAATTAGAGCAGGATTATGGTATATAAATTATTTATTTATTTAAATTTGGATTTTTGTTTTAGAGAATATGGTATTAATTATTGCAAGATTTTCATAGGATCGTTAGACATTATTGCAGTTACGGGTTTTAGGTGTGTTTATTTGTGTTTATTTGTTAATTTAGGAAATTAAATTTTAAATGATATTTTAATCAATATATTGTTGAAAGTTTAGGTTTCGGGAGCCCTATATTTATAAAAAAAATCAGGGGCTTGAGGCAAATGCATTTTTCCTAACAAGCTAAACACGGCTCTGTATATATATATATATATATATAATGCTAGATAAAATCAGTTAATCCAGATTATTTGTTTTAAATAATTTATCAGCTAAATGTGACTGGAAAGGTCCTTGTAAAACCGATGCCGACTGCAAGAACGTATGCACAAGCCCTACTGAAGATCCTTCTTTTCTTTTGTGCTTTAAAAAACCCCCAATGTATGGCAAATGTTGCTGCTTAGTTAAAGAGTGATACATCGATATATTTGTATCATTGCCTATGATCATAAGATCTAAAAATTAA